GTGGCGCCTCCGCTGTCCTGTTATCTCAAGGCCACCGCACACTAGCCATTCGGCCGGTTCATTCGGCCGTTACAGTAGCGATTTTCTCGCGCGAGTCTTTATATCGGCCGAAACAACGAACCAACGACGGTGCATTCGGCTCATATTATTCAGGCATTCGGCCCAAGCGATGTTCACGCGACGACCGAAAAAAAGTTCGACCGGTTGAACTTTTACCACATGCCGAGATATCCCTTTAACATTAGCACGTGCATTTGGGAAATGGCTTCGGCCCGCCTCGGCTAATGTTGAAGGTATTTGGGAAACGATTCGGCCCTAGGGCTTTTTGATTTTCCCAGACAAAATTTTACTGAATATTCTGAGCGGAAGAACCAATTTCAAAGAAGATATTTACGGATTGTGTGTTCACTAACAGCAACAGCAAAAGTAAGTGACTGCGTGTTTACTTACTTTTGTTGTCAACGTAATTCAACTAAACAAGGTTATCGTTCCAATGCCAATGTATTTATTGCTGCAGAACATGGTCGGAAATCGGAATAATAATTATTTCTACATAATGCACGCAAAAAAACGATCAATTTAAATGCGTGAAGCATCTTAACGTGCCACAATGAAACATTTGATATTGTTCCAGCTGGGATCCAAGACGCGTTTGATTCAGCGTTTCACCCAATTTTCAGTTTTCCTCACGGTTTCCTCACTCCTGCTGGACTCAATATCTTTATTTTAACTTCTGGCGCTTCACCATCTTCATCCTCAGCCTTTTCAACCCTAAATAAGGGGGAAGTAGGTATTTTATCTTTCATACTCAACGCAGCCCAATAATGAAAAACACAAAAAAATAATCACGGTGACAATAAATATGAACATAGTACTAATATAATATGAACACAATAGTGAAAAATATCAAATGAATATGATATTAACTGTTGCGCCGGTACGGCATGTGGTAAATCTCTTCCCAACCTTGGGCTGTGAAAATGCAGTTTTATTCACCTCGGTTTTTTGCTACGGACCTCGTGCCTACCGGCACTCGGTCCTCCGCACAAAAACCTCGGTGAATAAAACGCATTTTCCCAGCCCCGGTCGGGAATATATATTCTCGCCGAAGCAGTCATTTAGCGGCCGAAAATCAACAGCCGCCATATTGTTTTCATACAACCTTGACAAGTGTTGTTTACATTCCAATCATTTTCGATGTGAGGGGCTCGTGTGTTGTGGAGTTGTTTGCGATGGAAATGAAGTAAGTATTCGAATGAATATCTGTGTTGTGTATTTTGTCAATTGCATATGTGATTCAGATTGAAATGTTGTTTAAATATTGGTTTCAACTTTCAACCATCTCTGATCCACTATTCATTTCGATTTCAATTTCCATTTCCCCATTTTCTCCATCTGCCATGATTATACATAGTCAGTGGGCATAAATTTGTCTACTACTCAATGCCACAGTAGGTATTCTTGGAAAATGGCCATTTATTATCCATATAAGCAAACATTTTCTGCTTTTGCCAGTTAACTTGAAATGCTGGACACAATTGTTCTAGGTTTCAAGGAGCTATCCTTAAATTATTTAATCAAAATTCAAACCTTGCAAGTCAAAGTCATTGAAAGTACCTGTAATGTTCTTATATAATGTTCTTACCATGCAATCTGGGTTTTCATTTATCATTTCATTCACATTGCCTCCAACAGGCTACTGTCGCACTAATGTGTCACATATTAGATATGTAGGTACTTTATTGCATGGTTGGTGAAAGTGTTGAGCACAACTCTCTCTTATGGTACAAGAAGTGCCATAATTCAAAATCTGAGTTGTCAAACTATAATAGAAATTCCATTTTTCAGAGTATTTTTCCTTTTTCTGTGTTTCTGCCAGATCAAGATGTTGGATGTGTCAAACGTAGGGCCATGAAAGAAAAGTCTGGAGGCTTTATGGGATGCACACAAACACTTGCATGCAATATTTGCATTGAAAGAGTTGTGAGATCAGCATGCTGAATGTGTTTTTTGTGTGTTTTTGTCTGCTCTGTACAGGAGCTCATTTTATGTTAAATAAAATGTAATGGCACTGAACAAATATAAAAATAGCCACCTGTCCCTTCTGTAGTAGCTATTCACCATTCAATACTGTTTTGTGTATCATTTATTACCCAGAGATCTTTCACAATAGTGATAGTTTTCTTCTTTGCCGGGTCAATGAACCAGGTAGATGTGTCCACTCCAACCAGTGCAGATCGACCTTTGTGTACAGTTGTACACATTTCAGTGTGATGAGCGGACCTTTGATAGCTGTTCCACCAACCCGCCTTAAGATGGCGCGCGCGTCTCCCAGCAGGCAGCAGAGGCGACATCTACTGTCGGCTCAGCTGGTGTGGAGGGTGCACCGAGTGTCATTACCAATATACCTATAAACACGCCATTGCAGTGGCCTCACTCGAGGTGGGCTGGACCCAAGAGGATGGATGACTCGGGCTATAACGATGACGCGGGTCGTGGGCCCAGCAGCACAACAGGTGGCGTTCAAAATTAACAAAGTCCCTATGTTTTCAGTTGGGTCGGAGAAGTGGATCTCATTCAAGCGGTACACAGCAAGCCAGTTTCATGAAACACGAGTCTTCCTGGACGATGAAGCACCAGCTGAACCGCAAACGGCCGGCGCACCAGCTCTGTCCCCGGGGCCGGCGCCCCGGCAAGCAGCACCAGCTCCAAGGCCGGCGCTCGGGCCAGCCCCGTCTCTGGAGCGGTCGGTGCCGGCATCACCAGTGTCCGCAAGGAGCAGCCGTGCCCAGTCGAAACGCTCGCAGCACTTCAAAAGTTCAAAGTGTACAACAGGTGGCTAAACCGTTGAATGATGCCGACCTGGCTTTCGGTCAGTGTGTAAAAGCGGTTCGAAAAAAGCCATCGCTCCCGGAACTTCCGCTCACTGGCGCGCAACGTCTCCTCCGTCGGCTCCGGCAGGTACACTGCACCGCGGACGTTCACGATCGCGCAACAGATGTACACCAACGCGCGCGTGGTCGACTCCGCGAGCCGGTAGCTCGGCGCCAGAGCGGAAAATTCAGCCCCCGATGCCAGATAGTGGGGTGTAATCGCCAGCCGCAGCGGTGCGCTCACCGGCTGGAGGAAGGTGGTGGTCGAGCGGGTGATCTGGCCCTCGATCTGTGCTAGTAGGAGGCTGAAGGCTCCCTAGCTCAGTCGGAAATACTGAACCTGTGTCGCTGGGGGTCGTTGAGCCGAAGCTCCTGCTCTCGTCATGTTGAGTATATATAGATTGACAATTGTTGATAAGCGTTTAGGAAGGCCTTTAAATTAAATATTCATTTGCTTTAAATTAAGAATAAAGTTAAAATTGAAAAAAATGATATATAGCCCGACGTTTCGCATTTATGCGAAACGTCGGGCTATATATTATACGTTTCGCATTTATGCGGGCCCATGAATAAGCAATAAATGCGAAACGTCGGGCTATATATCATTTTTTCAATTTTAACTTTATTCTTAATTTAAAGCAAATGAATATTTAATTTAAAGGCCTTCCTAAACGCTTATCAACAACTCCTGCTCTCGGTTGGCGTGCTCGCCCAGCTCGTCTCGGCGCTGCAGCACGTCGCTGACCCCATGCGCCGGACCAAGGGTCTGCGTCTCTCCTGCACCCTCTGGAGTGCCAGCTTGAAGTACAGTATCGCGATGGCTAGTTGAAGTGTGTACGGGTTGTTTGGTGGCTCAGCATGCAGATAACTAAATCTTTTGGTCCCAGAGCATCAATACAATGCACATTAATGTTGCTAAGTTTGGTTAATCGCTTGCGATATGCTCAGACCATTTAGACCTCAATAGTCGGTGTACTTTGTTCAATGTTTGTTTTTAACAGCCAATTTGTTTTCATTATCAAGCAAGCTACCTTCTCAAACTGCAATTAACCTATAATTTTGTTTCTTTTTTGAACGATGCACTAAATATATGAAGCTGGATTATATTTGGTCTTTTCCAATATTCATTATAAAACATTCATTACTTGCGCTCTTGGAATTCGGTTACAACAGTTTAGGCGATATTTCAACGACGATATTTCTGCTCTAAGCGATTCGGCCATTCGGCCGATATAGACACTTGCGCGAGAAAATCGCCGCTGTAACGACCGAATGAACCGGCCGAATGGATAGTGTGCGGTGGCCTTCATGCCGTGGTTTCGCTAATACAACACGTGACAGGTTTACAACATGAACCGATGATATGAGAGGCTATGATGAGGACAGGGAAGGCCGGAAACCCCAGCTGAGCCTGCAGGGAATGGGATGACTGCGACAGATCACTGTTCTCGCCTTCATGGCACGACCGGCCAACTGGTATCTAGTCGGACCAAACGAGGACAGGGGCTCATACGGCCGATTATTAACTCCGAACTCTGCGATTCGTTTAATCAGATGCTTAGCCATTTCAGCTGTCAGGCAATCAGAAAAAAACATCGGCTAACTGGTGACTGCGCGGCGGTTACCTGCATAGCGCATCCTAAACCTCCTTCACGCATCGGTGAAACGAGAAAAGTGAAATGAAATTGAATCGTGATACAACAGTGACGTTTTCGCTCACTGCAGTTCACCATGTTGGTGACATTTGCGGTGTGCGATGAGGCGCTGAGACCGCTCCACTTTTATGCAGTCGGCTCGCCGAATTTAGGCCGTAAAGTATGAGAATGTCCTGTGAACCTCCGATATGCCTCCTATATAGTCATGATGTTGCTTGCTATCGCAACGGGCAGCAAGGGCTCAGCTGAAGGAGCGCGCCGTGCCTGCTCATGGTGGTAGATCCGCCCAACGTGCCACTTCTTATAAAAATCAGAATAAAATAAATGAATGTAAGTCAAATAAATCACACAACCGTGATTTCATAATATGTCGAGAATAAATCTACCTAAACACATTGCATAAGCATATCTTTTTATTTTTGCATAATGCATGGCCATGCCTGTAATTAAGTCAGCACCGGCCCGCCACAGAATGGAGCTGAGCGGGCTGACGGTGGAGCTGGTGCTGAGCTGGCTGGTCGCGGAGCTGGCGCTGGCCGCGGCCCTCCAGCCCGACCACGGCGTGAACCAGCGGCCGCCGTTCTGGGGCAGCCACACCGTGTACGGCAACTACTCGGGGGACATCCTGCTGGGAGCGCTGTTCCCCGTCCACCAGATGGGACCGTCCGACGCCGACTGCGGACGCATACAGGCAAGTGGCTCCATGATGTTTCGGTTTGGCACCGATCCTTGCTGGCACCTTGCTTAAAAGTAACATGGGATTAGGTTCAATAACATAGGTACTTATGTAAATTTTGAAGAAATAACGCATCGTAAATACCTATTATTTTCTAGTAAAAATCAGCCAGTGTCAGCAAATCAATAAAATGTATTTCAGAGGATGAAGTCTATATCGTTTACCAAGTATAAATCACCGGTGACGGCTTACAGGGCGAGGACGGCGTTCAGCCTCTGGAGGCGATGCTGTTCACCCTGGACACCATCAACAACAGTCCGCAGATGCTGAACGGCGTGCGGCTCGGCGCCGTGGTGCTCGACTCATGTGACTCCGACTCTGTGGCTCTGCAGAGGTCCATGGAGTTCGTCAAAGGTCAGTGCTTCCGCGCCGGCAGCCGGATATACATACTTACTCAGACGAGGCAGCTAGAACTGCGTATGTACACTCAAGGTAGTGTAAAGCATGATTACTTTTGTGCAAAGCACGGGCGGCAAGTCGAGCCACGTGATTATGCACCGGGCTGCCTGCCTACATCCCTACACTGAGTGAAGTGAAGTGAAAATAAGGTTTTAAGGCGTCCCTGTCCATTGGACATTCGGCCACCTGTAAAGAATCTGACTGTATGCTAGAAAAATATCGAATTGCTAGAATTTTGATATTGCAAGTGCTCATTTACTTTAAATAAGTGTGTGTAAGTTCTAAAATTTTGACCTTTAAAGTGCTCGGTAACGCGTTGTGAGTTTCTTGGGAGGTGAGTGGGATCCCTGGGACTTACGTTACCTACAGTTAAAATTAGTTTTACGCTATAGTTACTTTAAATGGTTGTTGAGAGAGATGCCACTTTGCCCTCCATCAAGACAATAAATTCGATTTGGGGTTAATTTTGCCATGGTGCCGGCACATGGCCTACTCTTCACGAACTACACCATGGGTTCTTTATCGTGCGGGTTAGGAGGCAATCCCCACACCCCCTCTCACGCCGGGTGTCGCGTTCACCCTACAATGCCGGGTGGTGCAATTGGCCTAAATAACTATTGTCTGAAGGACAAGACTGCATGGCTATTTGGCACCGGCCCGTCTATGAAGCTGTTTGAATGGTGCTGTTAAACAAAACTTTTTGGAGTTATGCCACTATTTTCCTTATTCTCAGCTAATGTGCATGCAGTATCTAATATCTATGCATACTGTTTAATTAGACGCCAGTCACGCCAGTCACGCGATGTGTGAATGATCCGCTTTATGAACACCGGCCAGTAACAACTGGCATTGTGCAGTGTGCAGTGTGCACACATGCTCTTCATATCCTTCGTCCCCGTGAAGCTCCAATGTAACTATTTCAAAGCCAAATGTATGTAAAAGTCTATTGACGTTCACGAAGTTGGTTATCAATAGAATATGATATCCGTTGAGAGGAGTGTTATTGCTCCAGAGAACACGTATACGATTGCACTGACGCATCCCTCGCCATATATTGGATGTCGTCGACGCACGGTCGTTCACACACGGAGAATGAATGATGTGTTATTGCGATATCGTAATGGGCAATCAGTCTCCGGCCATACGTGCGCCGTTTTCACGGACGATGTGACCTAAAGAGATGATCGTCGACAACTAACAGCACAACGACGGGAGGATATTCGCCTCGCAAGTCGCAACAGGCCATTATGATGCGCTGGGCGATACATGTATACACTATACGAGCGCAGTGTATGTACAGTAGACACAATTAGTTAGATGCTCGTTCAGGTGTAGGAACGTTTTAAGAAGAGAGGGAGCGACCTGTCAGCGTACTGACGGCGCATTGTTAGTAAACTTCACCTGCACCACAGATCTCTGCGCACAGTTGTAATAGATCCATTATCCATGACTGCCGAATATCTTCAAAAGTTACACGGGCAAATGAAGCTCCACGGGAAATAGCTCAAAACCGGCGCCATCAATTTCTAATTGCGAGATGATAGTGGTTCGTCGAAAAAAAAAATTCCACGAGACCTATGGGAAACGCGGGCTTTTAAACTTTAACGCACGCGTTCCATGGGTAAAGTTGAGAAAACATCGACACTTATACGCCGATCCCTATCCCGAACATTGTTGGCAATCGCTCACATCCCGAGCTAATAGCAAGTAGTTCGGCAACAGCAGCCAGTCACTAGTCAGAGCGACTCGCGGGGAACGCAGCACACTGACCGATCACGGATAGAATTGGTTTGGCGTTCACCGTATAATTTATGGCTGGACATGCGTAGCGTGCATAACAACACTAATGTAGATTAATTGCCGCGGCCTGTGACATATTGTGAAATAATTGGCCTATGTTCTGTGGGTGTGGTTAAGATTGATCAGTTAGTGCGTATTTGTAGGGGAACGAACACATTTGAAAGTGAATAGGTACTGGTACACATTTCAAGCATGCCTATTTGATAAAATGACCGATCATTGTTTTACCATCACATACTGTTGTTCTCCGCATGGCTACTGGACCAATTCTCAAAATGGAAACGGCAAGTGAAAGCCGTTACAAAACTGCTTTTACTAAATTATCAAGCATGGTCGTCTTTTTATGACGGCCTCAAAGATTACATATTCGTCTCATGCTTGAGTTCACACTCTTTCTTTGTACCCTTTTTATATATCGCCGACCAGGGCCTATCGTATCGCTGACACGGTCGTGGCAATTCGGCAGGGTTTTTCAGCCGGGCCAACCGCCACCACCGTGTCGATTTCGTCTGCGGGGACGGCCAGCCTCCGGCATACCGGAATAACAGCTACGACCGTATGGTGGGCGTGATCGGCGGACAGTCGAGCGCCGTCTCCATACAGGTCAGTCTGACAGACTAAAATAGTTTACAGAGGTCAGCCTGGACAGTCCAGCGCCGTCTCCATACAGGTCAGTCGGTCACGGAATCTGCGACAGTCTCATAGGGTCTGTCTGGCAGATAAATGTTCAAATGCAGTCTTCACCCTCCATACAGGTCAGCCTGACATACAGACTACGAGGCTCCGTACAGGTCAGCCTGACAGATGGTTGGGCACAATCTCCATTCTACAGTCGATGATTCATGCAATCAATTTATTCTTCTTCTTTTTTGTCGGTGCGTGATTGATTTATAAAGTTCGCCGCTCATAAAACGATAAGATTATTCGATTGCTACTCCTGTCCGGCCAAATAAGATCCGTACTTCATTGGCAATCGACGCTTGGTCGGTGCTGTTTAATCCGTTTGGTTAAGTGCAGTGCCTTTTAAATGCGAAGAAAATCATCGTTATTTAAAGGAAATAGTTCACTTTCACGAAATTATTTTTTTTGCAATGGATTTCTGATTTTTTATGTTCAAAATGATCAGCAAAGAAAATAAAACCTATTTATAACAAAAGATTATTTTCTTTATTTTGATATAAGAAGAACTTTTCAGTTTCTGTAAGGCACAGGCGATCCAGTATGAAAAGAGCATGGGTTCCGAAAATTCTTCAGAAACTAGAGAAATTATCGCGGCCACCGGCATTTGGGCGATCTGCTGCTGCTGAATGTCCTTATTGATCAGTACGAGAATTTCTCTTGAGTTCTCGTAGATAATTTCACTAGTTTCTGAAGAATTTTCGGGACCCATGCTCTTTTCATACTGGATGCGAATATATGCAAGGCACACATCCTCAACGCAATACACCTTTTTCGGGACGAGAAATAGAATATCTTTGCCTAGGGTGATCGTTGGGCTGTAAAAGCTCCTGATTTATGCTCGTCTCAGCCCAAGCTACGGAACTGCTATTCCAGTTCAAAACCCATGTTAAAAAGTGAACTATTTCCTTTAATGCATCAGGTGATGACTTACCGGGCTTCTCACAAAAGTCGGACCAATTTCTTTTGCGGATAGTGGACTGAAAGCAATATCTAAACGAAACAAATGCACATGAAAAGAAAGCAAATTTTTAGGAGATTTATATGATACCATATTTGTTAAGTTTAAAAAATGAGACAGTGGTCTAAGACGCAAAAGCAAACTCAAAGAAATTCTACTTTCAAAATAAGTCGGTCGTTTCAACACAATGGAACTCCCGCAACCTTTTTTTTTAAGTGAGCACCATCTTGAAATGCTATTTTCCACATTGTTGAAAGTTTCTGGCTCGAGGAAATGTTAACTGCGGGTTCAAAGAACATAACGGCAGCCGCAAATCCAATCAAAGAAGCAAGCTGGCGAACGTCGCTCGTGTGAGAGATGCGCTACCCAGGCTGTCAACGGTCAGCGATATCGGATGACCCTGACAAATTTTGGAGCGTCCTGCAGACCACGATGGGCAGCGATCCTGATCCACTCAAGTGCCAATAGTTCCAGCTAGACGGTTCCACAGCCAATACCGCCAAAGAAAACCGGGAGTGGCTGCAGGAGCGCTCCGGGCAGCGTGTGATCTCGAGGTTCGAGGCACACCCGTGACCAGCGAGCTCCCCGGACTTGACCCCACCGGACTTTTTCCTGTAGGACCACCTCAAGTCCCAGGTGTACCGAAACCACCAAAGAAGCCCCAAAGACCTGAAGGGTGCAATGAGGTCGGCGGTACGCAGCCTGCCATCTTCCGTGTGCCATGCTGCAACAGAAGCCGTGCTGCACGGGGCTTAACTGTGCATCGAGCGAAACGGGTGTCATCTCGAATAGGTCCGGCGCGGCTCAGTAAGGCGATCGCCGACGGTCAAAATCCCCTGAAACAAAATATTTTTAACTAGGCTTTCAAGTGATGCCTGATTTATTTTTGTAACACTGACACACCCTTAAATATATTGATTATAAATTCGTCCGACTTTTGTGAGAAGCCCGGTAGAACCGCTTTCATAGAAGCGAGCTCAAAGCTTCAGGCTGAAAATGCCTTGCTCAGCGTCTTTACGTAATAGGAGAAACCCCCTTATTCACTGGTTTCCTTTGAGCTGTTGAATCCGTAGAGTAGGTAGCTGTAGGTATAATATGGCTGTGTCAAATTTGTGATTAGGTGAGAATACCTGCGAGTAGGTATCAACGTAAATAATGAGTTTTACATTGCAAAATCTGTAAGATAAATCGAATTCCACAATTAACTTTTAAGGAGGCATTAGTCGAGACTGCGTCGTATTCGCAGGTGGCGAATCTCTTGCGCAACTTCGAGGTTCCCCAAATCAGCTACCTCTCCACATCCACCACGCTGAACGGACCAAAGTACAGCTACTTCTTCCGCACCGTGCCATCGGACGTCAACCAGGCGGCGGCCATACTGGAGATCCTCAAGTAAGCTGGCTGATAATTTCTACATGTAGCTTACGAAATAATTTCGACCTTGAAAATTGATTGCAGCACAAAAGTAATCCTTTCTTGGTGTTTGACCATTGCATGGATGCACGTCATGCAGGGTTTTCGGCTGGACGCACGCGTCTGTCGTCTACTCCAACTCGGACTACGGCAACCGCGGCTTCCAGAAGCTGGAGGAGCTGGCCTCCAGCTACGGCATCTGCTTCTCCAGCCCGCTGCGGCTCGATCAGGAGCGCCAAGACTATGACGACGTCATCGAGAGTCTTGTCAACAAGACCAACGCCAGAGGTCGGTATGGGACCCGGGGGCCGTGCAGAGAGGCTGGGGAAACTGATGGTAATGGAGCGGACATGTTTAGTTGTCACTGTAATAAGATCGATGGAGTACTGAACATCAAGACGCTGCATTGGTGTATGTACTCGGGATTCAACGTCAAACTATAGATCACAAGCCAGCGAGATAATAAACGAAGCACCGTTGACTTGACCATCCCCCAGAGTGACAGCACATTTGGAATCGTCTTTAAATCGTCGTCATGTTTATGGCCATTACCTGGAGCACGTCCTGACATCTGCCTCCCCTCTACCTAACCAAGAGAAACAGATTTGTTTGTCCCCCGAGCTCGAACGGTCGCCCGCTCCGTCTGCCCGGCAGCGGTGGTCGTATTTGCCGACAAGATGGCGACCGGCTCGCTGATGCACGCGGCCAAAGCGCGCAATAACACGGCTGGCCTGGTATGGATCGGATCGGACGCCTGGTCCTCCCGCGAGACCGTCGTCAATGGAGTCGAGGATGTAATCGAGGTGGGTCCGAGGACGACTCCGGGGAACAGAAATAGCCAATAGGGATCTGTGGGATCACCTACATATCTATCCATTCGACCATGGATATCAATAGCAACGAGTTGACGACTCGATGTTAGGAAAGTATGCAAAACATTCTATTTGAAACATGTTTATTTCATATTTGCAATTCATCTAGTTAAAAAAGACGCTTAAATGGGCTGAAAATGCGTAAAATCACCTCTCAGTTCAGTGCAGTGGTCTGGTTGCAGGGCACCATTTCGGTGCAGCCGCTGGTGCAGCACCTGAACGGGTTTGACGCGCACATGGACAGCCTGGACCCGCGCTCGGCGACCAGTCTGGAGCGGAACCCGTGGCTGGCAGAGTTCTGGGAGGAGACGTTCGGCTGCCACCTGTCTGCCGAGCCGGCGGACGGGGACACACGGCCCGAGTGTGACCCCGACGTCCGACTCTCCGTCGGCGGCGGCTACAGGTACCGACTCAACCGAGGCCATACTGACATTATTATAGGTAATCTCTACTTATCAAGTGCATTCATAGCTCTTATGAAGCTGTCTAATGAAATATGCACTACTCTTTTTAAATACGATCGTATTTATTTTACACGTGGGGTGAAAATTCATTTTAAACGCTTCAACCTTTTAGTAACATTGTTTTAAGGATTTAGTATTTAGTGTCGTTAAGGACTCTCACATGCAAATGTAGCTGCACAGTTCACCGTCTGATGGTCCTTTTCGACCAGGCAGCAGACGTACCTGCACTTTGTGCGGGACGCCACGTGGGCGTTCGCCACGGCGCTGGACGACATGCACCGTGACCTGTGCGGCGGCCGGCCGGGCCTCTGTCACCAAATGGGCCACATTGAGGGCAGGGACCTCCGGCGCTACCTCAGCAACGTCGTCTTCAAAGGTGCCGACACAAGGAGTCCTGAGAGTTTTTAGCGGACTTAATCGCAGGCATACTCTCTACTTTTGCCATGTTCAACATTGCAGTGCACTGCTGTTCGTTGTTATGCATCTGTTTGCATGGAGACGGAATTTTGGAGAAAGCATTGTAATGCAATAATATAACTATGCTCATTTATGTTACTTTGCTTCGTTAGCTTGATGTAACTATTGCCTTACAATGTAAGGCAATAGGCTTACAAGGGTATGAAGTATATCAATGTATATCATACATTGTATACAAGGCTTACAATGTATGAAACTTCTTGGCAAGGAAAAAGTCTAGCGCGAGATGTAAGGCTTACATCTCGCGCTAGACTTTTTCCTTGCCAAGAAGTTTCATAATTGGGCAGTTCACCAGGACTCAAACAATTACATTACTTTTCATAACGTTTTGCTGTTCTTCTCAGACCAGAACAGCCAGTCGTTTCGATTTATGAATGGAAGCGGTGAAGGGCCGCCACGCTACTCCATCCTGAACTTCCAACGGGACGACCTAACAGGCCGCTACTCGTGGAAAACTGTCGGCCAGTACTCCCGTGAGTGCAACTCGATATTCACCTAACGCTGCTCAAACATTCCAACATCAAGTTCAAACGGCATTGTGTGCGTTTGGCTCTTTTATGAAGCGCTGATGTGAGAACAGCGGTTCTGTTCACATACGGGTACAACGGCGGCCTATGTGGCTCGTTTCATTAGTCCGCTACACAGGAATGGCCTCGTGCTCTCTGACCTCTTATTCGGCTGACCGCTCCCTGAGGGCTGCTATATTCGGGCCAATGAAGGTGTTCACGTGAAGGCATCAGGCGGAAAGCTGCCGCAACGCTTCAGTGAACTTGCGGTGGCCTGGCTGTTATGACGTTGCCAGGAGAGTGTTAAGTTGTTTGTGGCCGCGATATAATTGCACGCGAAAATTATGAAATAAAACGTAGGTATCACTTTGGAATAAGGTTTATTGCATATGAAATGTGAAAGGCAGAGCAGTTGCTAGGGAAGATACGTCCAATAAAAAGTTGTAAATTTTTATTTCCAACGTGCAATGCGGCAGCACGTTCGTGCTGCGACCTGCGGTAAGTATTGATTCGCCCCAATGACGACGATTCGTTTCAATGTATCTCGTGCTGTGTTCTGCAGTGAAGGAGGACGGGAAGGCAAACCTGGAGCTGCGGAGAAACGAGACTCGCTTCAAGGCTCGCAGCAACTACACATTTCCACTTTCCAGCTGCAGCGCACCATGTCAAATAAATCAAGTCAAGGTTAAAAAGGTAAGTCAGGACGACGCAGCGTATCTAGTTATCCGAGGCTATGTAATGAATCAGGCGTAATCGAGTGTATTTTTACTCACTCATCTAGCGCCACACTCCAGTATCCCGTCCTCTCACGCGCCTGTTGCTGACCCACGCCGGGCGCCGGCAGGAGAACGACCTCTGCTGCTGGACGTGCCGCACGTGCGGCCACTACCAGAGGGTGGTGGATGAGTACGACTGTCAGGAGTGTCCGCCCGGCTCGCTGCCGTCACCCTCTAAACGCGACTGTGTCATGGTGCCGCTGCAACACGTCGACTATTCCAGCCCGTGGGCGCTGGCGGCCATCGCATTCGCCGTGTTCGGTATGTCGGCTGCTTCATTAGACGGACGTGATGAACAGTTGAGCGAAGTTGGCATTCGGACAAGTTGGAATTGAGCAAATTCTTTATAAATGACTTAGACCCTCTAGCATCAGGTTACGCAGGAACTTAATCAAAATCTTAAATCATTGATGGGTTGATTCTCATTGGCCTCCGTCTTGATTGTTTTACCAAAGCCTTTGCGGACTAATATTTTACGAGTATGTTCCTCTAATGCGTCGGGGATATGATTTCTGTTTTAACCAAGGTCATCTGTGGGCTGATTTTTCTATCTCTCTCTGCACCGTCAGGGATAGTGATCACGGTGCTGTGCGGTCTGATATTCGCCGTACACGGCTCCACGCCGGTGATCAAGGCGTCGGGTCGGGAGCTCAGCTACCTACTGCTGCTCGGCGACCTGCTCTCGTTCAGCCTGACCTTCGTGATCGTGGCGCGGCCGAGCGAGCTCAGCTGCGGCCTGACGCGCTTCTTCCTCGGTCTCTGCTACACGGTCTGCTACGCGGCCATCGTCACCAAGACCAACCGGATCTCGCGCATCTTCACGGGCCGGCCGCGGAAGCCGCGCACGCGCTACACCTCTCCGCGCTCTCAGTTGGTGATCACGGCGCTGATTACCTTGCTGGAGGTACTGGTGAACGCCGCCTGGCTGCTCTACCGGCCGCCACTCACTCTGGTCGTGACGCCCACTCGGGAGCAGCGGGTGCTCATCTGCGACGGCCTGGACGACAGCTCCTACCTGATCGGTGAGAGCCAGGGAGGGGAGAGAGGGAGGGAGAGAGAGGGGGCAAGAGGGAGGTCGAGACAGATAGGAGAAAGTCACCATTTCCATGAGTTTCCCGCTGTTGTTCTCCAGAAAGTATGATCTATGTATTCGCGGATCTCGATCGGCTGCTATTGTCTCCCCTTCGTATGATTGATACGCTTATTTCGCTCGGTTCCCTGTCATCTCCGCAGGTCTGATCTACCCACTGATTTTGATCGGGTTCTGCACCGTATACGCTGTGAAGACTCGCAAATGTCCGGGTGGCTTTAACGAGGCGCGCTACATCGTCTTCACCAACTACACGACGTGCGTGCTGTGGCTGGCGTTCGTGCCGCTCTACATCGCCGCCTCGGACCACGCGCTGCGCACCGTCACTCTAGCCATGTCGCTGTCCCTCAGGTCAGTCGGCGGCGCCCAAATACAGGCACGAACTGTCCCCTCCCGACCCTCCCCGAACTATCCCCTCCCGACCCTCCCCGAACTGCCCTCTCCCGGCCCTCCCCGAACTGTCCCCTCCCGACCCTCCCCGCGCCGAGAGTCGGCCTGATGCGTAATTACTTAGGCAGTGATACTGTAAGCTTTTATCGGCTCAAAGGCTTAGGGCCAGTCGCGAAGTTTTCCGCTCGGCATATCCCGGTTGCTTTATGTAACGCACTTAAACCGTTTGTTTTACGAAAACTGGCTCGGGTTCCAACTCATTTGAGCTTGTGACGCTGCTTAAGAGAATGTAAAATATACTCAAACATAAAAGCGATGTAATTGCGGGCATTTAAATTAATTGATAAATGCAAATGGAACAAAAAGCATAGCCTTAGCATTATCATAATGCCATTTTAAGAATTTCCGTATTTGTTTATACATGAATGGATTTCTCTTTATCGCACCTCCCACAATGCCGGCCTTTGAGGGCATCGGATCCGTTCCCCCGCGGCAGTCACTCGGACCAGTCTGTTCCCCCTCCACAGCGGGCTGGTGCAGCTGGCCTGCCTGTTCTTCCCCAAGATGTACGTTGTGCTGTGGAAGCCCGAGAAGAACACGCGTGACGCCGTGATGGCGCACCGCAACACCACGTTTGTCACAATGGCGTGCCACGCCGCTCCGGTGGTGCTGATCAACGGCAGCGGCGGCACCAGAGGTGAGCGGGGCAGGGGTCACTGCTGCAGAGGTGAGCCGAAACACGGTCACTGGTCAGAAGAGAGGTCAATCGGCACACGACTTAGGTCACATGCCGGCACAGAGGTCAGTAGAGGCATCAGAATGTTCGTGAAATGATTTCCATCAGCGAACTTCGCGATCGTGGCTTGTTTTGCGTTTACTTCACAAAGCTCTGTTCCATTTCATCATGTTTTCAACAATAAAGGGGATAGCTGAGCTCATAAAGGGCTACTTACTTCACTCATGCCATTTAGAAGTTCGTGAAAAGCGTCTGTATGTTGTTCCGTGACCTGCCCGACCTGTGTGGGCGGCGCGGTGGGACGCTGGCCGTGTGTCAGAGGTCACGGTGTTGAGTGTTGGTCGCCGGAAATGTACCGGGCGTGGGGCGCAAATAGCGCCGCTGTGTCCACTCTGTCCATGGACTGCTCGTTTGTGGTATTGCTCGGGCCGGCTCCGGTCCGCCGCTGGGACGGCATGTAACCTGAAACACCGTATCGACCGGGCGCGGGCACTGCGGTTACCCGCACCCCCTCCCCCGTCCCGGGAAGGCGGCCTCTCACAGACATTGAGACTGGACACGAGCTGGGTGTTCGTGGAGGGACGCCTTGAATGGCTGACGATGATCGGCTGAATAGTAGGACCATAGGACACACCGATTAATAGATATTAGATGCTGTGCAAAAGTGTATATTCATAGCTAGACTGAATAATAAAATGCAGTAAATGGTAACAGTATGAAAAGCTGAAGCTGCATAGCCAAGTAAGAGTGTGGTAATATAGCATATTTCCACACGTTTAAGGACTATAAAAAAATGGTATTGCACCGATGAAACGTAGCTTCTGAAATTCTGAAATTACGTGGAGCCTGATGATTAAAGGCAACAACGCAACAACACTGAATACATTGGGTCCTCGTTCATTACTGACTCATTCAATCAAGTTCTTCAGGACATTGCAGATATCACCACTTTGGCACCCCCCCCCCCCCCCGTCCCGGCCCGTGAGCTGACCACTGCTCCTTCCCCATTCCAGGACGGCGCCAGGCCCCGCTCTGCTGCCACCGGCACCCAGCCAGCTCCTGCGGCTCGGACGGACCGGCGCTGGCGCCCACCGGTACGTAACCAACTCACAAACAGCGAAACAAACACAAACGAACATCAAACACACTTCCGACAAACCAACCACACCAGCAAACTTGGAAAGACGCATCCCGAGTCCTAGCAAACTCAAACATGCAAGCAGTTATACACGTTACACAGTACACACCAGCAAGATGCCGCTTGCATTCACACACGGCCTTTCAGAAAGACTGTTCATAACTCCATATCATCATTGTCTCCTGAGCGCTTAATGAGTATTATCTATCCAAACTGGCCGGATCTAAGTCGTTCTAGCTCCTTAGTCAGCAGTGTTCAGTCATCGATATCGGCTCCACACGAGCACCGACACGCCGAATCGGCGGAGGTCCTCTAGACCTCAGCCTCCTGGCCTCTCTCTTGCACCGGTAGGCCCCATACCGTCCGGAGAGGTCACTGCAGGCCGGTCATGGCCCCGTTTCTAGGATAGTGTACACGAGATGGTCTCCATTCCCCAGCCCGACCGCCTTCTCCGAAGAACGGTCGGCCCGTGGTCGCACCGGCCCAGTGTGTGTGCACGCGTGTGCTCGCATGAGCCATTCAGCCTGTGACAAGCTGATTGGCCGCTTGTTACACAACGAGTGCGTCTGACGTGTTTTTTCCATGGATGGGAATGCTTCTGGCGGCACAATGGTCGCTATGGAAGAGTTCTCGAGCCGAGTGCCACAATGCTAGTGGCTTGTAGCCACCGTCTCCCTTGGTAACACAAAACGTGCTTTCGAATATAATTATTTACAGGGTGACACAAAAAAAAAAAACGGTCATCACCAAATTTCGAATAACTTCGGAAATGTTATTCAAATAATCACCAAACTTTGGCCACTTAAGGTCACACCTATGTAGCATATATCCACCAAGTTTCAAGTCTTCACTACGAATACTTTGAGTACAGTGTGTGTTTTACTGACGCTCCACAATGTGCTCCAGGTGAGCGCCACGGCGCTGCAGGGCGTAGGCACACTTGCATCCGGCGGGCAAAGTTGTCGATAACCCGATGGCTGTGCACTTTACAGAGTGCAATGGCCTCTGGAGACAGTGCTCAGGGGGTGTGCTACCCCTGAAACGTTATTCTTATCGGGTTATCGGCAACTTTGCCCGCCGGATGCAGGTGTGCCTACGCCCTGCAGCGCCGGGGCGCTCACTTGGAGCACATTGTGGAGCGTCCGTAAAACACACACTGTACTAAAAGTATTCGTAGTGAAGACTTGAAACTTGGTGGATGTCTGCTACATAGGTGTGACCTAAAGTGGCCGAAGTTTGGTGATGATCTGAATAAAACTTCCGAAGTTATTCGAATTTTGGTGATGACCGCTTTTTTGTGTCACCCTGTATGTAGGCTACACCAATCACTTGTATTGGCTACGTAAGTTTTCAGGAGGATGACCTTCACTACGCTCGGTGTCTGGGTTGATGAGGCTGGTTGCTGTCACCATCACGGACGCAGAAGGCAAAGAAGCATGCAAAGATAGTGGCGAATGTCCTTTTTGACTTATAAATATTCACCGAATGATGGCCAAAATGGTGTTCGATGGATGGCCACCGATGGAGCCGGTGGTTCTTGCTAAATTAGTCTCTGCGGTCAGGGCAGGCCGTCCTCTTTATGTAGGTCAGAATTTCCGTGGTGTCCGGAGCCGATTGTCCTTTCTAGATCGGAGTAGTTGCCGGGGCCGGCGGTCCTACTATAGATCCGAGTCTCTGTAGCTGCTGGGGCCGGCGGGTATAATTCCGAGTGTCTGGGAAGGGCGGGGCCGGCGTTTCTCTCCACTTTCGAGTCTCTAGTTGGCAGTGCCTGTGGATCTAGATCCGAGTCTCGGTGGTGTCCGGGGCCGGCGGACCATCACCCTCCGCACTGGCGCCGGCTCCAATCGAACCCCCACCAGCCGCCCTCCAGCGCGCCAGACGGGACATGTGGCGGCGCGCCTGGCCACGCACACGGCGCGCCATCGTGAACGACACGAATATGAAGACGCCCTGCAGGGTGTTGAGCACCACGAAGACGTGCCAGAGCGGCGGGAAGTCCACCCAGCCGGCGGCCAGACCGATTGCCCACGACAGGCCGCTGATGACCGCCAGCCGGCAGTACAGCTTCAGATTCGTCTGTGAAACGGAGCCACATATGTCGCTGGTTATATGTGGGACACACATTGCGATATAACGGACTCCAGTTCTCAAGACGGCTATGATGAAAGTGTCTCATTTTTCACCAAGTAAGCGTTTACATCCCCCTACTTTTAAGCACTGAAGCAAACAGTAACGCTTTTCAGAACTCTTCGCTGTCAGGTAGCAAAACATTTCCCGGTCTCCGTGGCTCACAGCGCCCCGATTCTGCACCTCTGGCGCTCGGTGGACCCACCTGGGACGGGCTGCAGGTGATGGCGGCCGCCGACTGCGCCGCCCTGCGGACCAGCAGCGCGCTGCCGACGAACAGCGCCACGTTAGCCACCATGATGACCAGCAGCGGCACGGCGAAGAACACCAGCAGCGCGCGCCGCCGGCTGAACCAGCACACCCGCTCGCCGAAGCCGGGTCGGTAGGCGGGCACCGAGTGCTGAGATGTGTCCGTAGCAATAGCCGCCACCACCAGACCGGCGGTGAAGCCGAACGCGTACAGAGAGTACAGGAGAAAAGTCTTCATTCGCTCACCGGAGGTGACGCGGAGTTCAGTCATGGCATGTCTGTGAAGGCAGAAGGAAGGAGAAAGTAATCTAGAAGCTCTTCATATAGATAGTTAAAGGGACACTCCCACCTTAACATTAGTTTTGAGTTGAGATAGCCAAATTGGCCATGGCCTGCAAATACCGGTTTGGGCACTCACAACATCGACAAATGCTTTAATTCGGAGATATGGAATTTCAAACTTGCAGTTTTCGGATTCTAAGGGGCTAGTGCATTGGTATGCCCCCTTAGAATTTGTGACGTCAGCGGAGATCTAACGATTTTTAAATCTTTTACTAAAACGTTTGGTAGCACGCGGTGGTATATGCTGCTTTGCGCGCAACAAATGCCGCACTTTCAAATAAAGTCGCTAGGAACAGCGGAGATCCCAAAAAGTAAACAAAAGTAAAAGTCTAATATCTTGAAAACCGGTGAATATTTTTCGATGAAATTTGGTAGATATTCGTTTTCGCTCTTTCTGAACCGAGCGACATCACTTTCGTGCCAATTCAATAACTTTTTTGAAGGTGGGAGGGTCCCTTTAAAACGTCAACGTGCATCGGTATAGCGTTCATAAGTATAGGCACGGCGTTCATAGGTGTAACGTTGCTTAACACTTAGCTATTTGGTTTCACTAATCCTGAGAACGTGCATGCATTTTTCTGTGCATACCTGAGTGAAATGAAGACGTCAAAGGCCATGACGTTCATCCAGAAGAACGACGCCATGAAGGCGGCGTACATGACGACGCCAAGCGCTCGGCAGCCCTCGGAGGCCGGCTCCTGGAACGGCGCCGCCACGAAGCAGATGTAGCCGACCAGCAGACAGGCGCAGAGCGCCGCCAGGTTCTTCCCGGGCAGATTGCGCTGCTCGGGCACCAGACAGAACAGCGCCAGGTGGCAGCAGAGGCAGACGATGGACACGACGACAAACACCAGCGACAGGGTGCCCAGAGTGGTGTCAAACTTGCTGAAGTCGCCTGACTTGGAGCACACCACCAGCTCGCCGTCTCTGAGCTCGAACTCGCCCTCGGCGTACCGATGGTCGTACAGCTGGACGTAGACGCTGCCATCTGAGCGGTTCTCGAATTCGTCAGCCGACAGGTAAAACTTCGGACAGAGTTTGAATTGAGAGGACTCTGCGCCGCCGTCATCCGGAGATTCCATTTTTGGCACACAGGTGTCATCTTTCAACGTGTAGCCGTCATCACAGAAAATGTGTCGACACTTGTGAAAGAAAGGGTCCCAGAGTCGTCCGTCATCACACACCGTGACCGCTCCGACCGTCCCGCTGCCCGACCGGTCAGAAATGTCCAGCAGAATCGAGAACGGAAGGGACGACGGGTAAGGTGGACTGGCGTAGGCTACGCCGCCACCTCGGAACCTGCTGAGTCGGCCGCAAACGAGCACGTCCGCCGGCACCCTATTACAGAGTGCACAGTGCAGATTACGGTAGACGTGACCGAGCGGCTCAGCTCGCCTGTTTGTCCTGCTCAGGTCGAGCATGCGGCCCGTGTAGGCGCCGCACTGGACGGCCGTCTCTGGCCCGACCCAGTCCGGTGCGCACTCTGACACCGCCGGCAGACACCCGCGCACGTGCTCGTCACCCAGACTCCGGGGCAGCTGCAGCTCCAGCTGACACGGCCTGAAGAACTCTGTGCCGTTAGCCGTTACCATCACTCCCCAGACTCCGTCCTCGTTCTGACGCAGGCTGGCCGCCGTGGTGTTCTCCGCCTCGCCCGGACCGGTCACCGGACAGCGGAGCAGGGTGCTCCAGAGTACCGCTCCGTCCGTGTCGCCGTGACAGCGGGCGCACGCCGCGCTCCGGTAGGTCCTTCCCGTCCGAGGGCTGGTCACAGGCAGGGCGGCCAGCGGGTCCTTAGATGGCCCGATGTCATCCGTCTCGCAGGCCCGCCGCGTGGCGTCGTGTGGCCACGAATCGGGACATCGTGCCACCATGTAATAGTGCGGCCCGTCTGCATACGAGCAGGTAAGTCCTTCGGGCACCGCGGAGGACACGCCAGCGTCTCGACAGCAGTCTCCGAAGGCTGCGCACTCCTCGTCACAGAAACACCCGAAGGAGAAGAGATCCCACAGCCCGGGACGCTGTGCTGTTTCCTTTCGAGCCAGGCACTGGTTGTCCGGGCACTGGGAGACGTTCTCTTCATCCGACTTGTTCCCGATGGTAAGGGGTACAAATTGGTCGGCTGTTCCCCATGTAGGGGGTTGAGTTGGTGGCTGGTCAATGGATAACACAACGCTGAGTAGGGAGAAAGCTACCACCCTTCCCAGTTGAGCTGGTAGTGCAGGATCGCAGGCACACATTTAATCTGTTCTCGGTGCAAGGGACTATCGTAGACGCCTTTCCAGCTCATACGATCGGTTGCTCCTCCCCGCAATCACTAAAGCACATCACAGCCAAACGCGAAACACTGCCAGCTGCACTCTCTCCTCGCACTGTGCACACCAGTATTGATAGCCTTGCACTCATGCAGTGTGCACACCAAGCGTGCTGCTCGCTGACCAACAGCGTACTGAGCATCTGATGTGGCATCGAGGCCCTTCACTCTCCCCTGGCTCTGTAGCGCTGCCGCCTCTGACCCGAGACATTCACAAGGCCAGTCGGTGCTGAGGGGAGCGCAGACGAGCACACCTCTGTAACACGCCGAGCACACGGCTCGTTGCATAACTGCTACTCGGCGTCTTCGCCGCGGGCATACGCTGAAGCGTGACTGAATGCTAATTTGGAAGCGTCAGCAGCGCGTTGAAGGCGGCTGCGTGCTACCTGTCGTGGTTTCAAGGCCACCAGCGTCAAGGTACAGGGCGAAGGGCACCCGCCATTTGACGGAGTTTTCTCAAAGGAAACATGGTATGTTACAAATTGCGAGCGAGTGCGATTCGATAAATGAGAATTCATAGCGAGCGTTCCGGCAAGTGAGATGCATTCGCAATCAAATCGCTAAATAGCCAAATGTGTCAGGTGACCGCCCCTCTACCATGCATTTCATTGTCCTCGATCCATGCTGCTTAGTGCTTAGTGCCAAGTAGGTAGGAAATTTCGAGGGGATATCGGTGACACTCATGCTGCACGATAAAATCGTCGCTCGACGCTTACTACAGTAAGAGGCGACCCACCAGTGACCTTTAGAACAAGCCTACCCACAATGGCTTAACCCCTCGGACAATGACGAGTCGGTGACCTGTAGCGCGCACCTTCCCACTGTGACCTTCTAATGACCTGTGACCTTGCCTCCCTTCGCAGTGAGCTCTGTCAGCGGAAACTCACCAGCGCGCGTGACCTCTGTGACCGCTCTCCGGCCAGACTTCAGCCGATGGGAGAACATCACAGCACTGCGAGGCGGCGTTATCGTCCGGGAGAGCGCCCTCGGCTCCGCGGGATTCCTCCGGCGCCGCAAACACTCGGTCTGAGAGAGAGAGAGAGAGAGAGAGAGAGAGAGAGAGAGAGAGAGAGAGAGAGAGAGAGAGAGAGGGAGAGAGAGAGGGAGGGAGAGAGAGAGAGAGAGAGAGAGAGAGAGAGAGAGAGAGAGAGAGAGAGAGAGAGAGAGAGAGAGAGAGAGAGAGAAGAGAGAGAGATACGTTTCCCGGCCGAACAATAGCAAGATATCGCCATTACCGCAGAATTGCAGATTGGCCATCTCATGTGTGCAAACAAAGCGAGCGGATGTTCTATGTCTTCGCCGTCACACGGTATCAGGGATATGATGGATGTTGCCGTGTGCGATCGTCTTTTATTGATAATAGTTTCCAATTGACGGATATGAATATGGTATGGGTGGCCATATTTTGCGATAACTGCAATTTGACGATTTATTGGCGGGCTATCGCCGCGTTCGCCGAAGGCCGAAGCTGAAAGGGAGCGCTTGTGTTGAGGCAATGAAACGTTATTTGGTCCTTGCGTATGTAACGATCCAAGAGTATATCCATTTGGCTAGTGATGTGAACTGAAATGTAGGAAGGTGAATAGAAAATCCTATTTTTTGTTAATCGAATAATTGTAAATATGGCAGGACTCAGGAACATGAATGTGCTAGTAGGAACGTATATAAGCGTTACTAATTACTATATATACTGCGTATGTACTATATACTATGTGCAGCCCTCAGCAGACTGCGTGGCAGGTATTCTTTTTCCGACAAAACTGATAATTATGTATAGTCACTTTTCGGATTATTCTCTGGGATAATAATATCTAACTCACAAGTCCACACTCTCTAACATATCTAACTCACAAGTGGACTTGTGAGTTAGATATTATTATCCCAGAGAATAATCCGAAAAGTGACTATACATAACTAATTTCCTGGGAAAAAATGACTTTAAAACAACATAAAACTGATAATAATTCAAAAGTCACGTTATCAGTCGGTCGAAACTCACTGCAAATAGATGCGCCGTGCTCCACTCCTTCGATAGGGCCTATCAATAAACAAAGCATACGCCTTGTGTCTGTGTGGCAACAGAATGTAAAAGTTCGTTTTGGGGGCAAATATAAACTTTTGGGTTTTGTTGCCAAACTGGATGGAAAATGCATACGATGATAATGCCAATCTAAGCTGCGGAGTCTCGCGCATCTTGCTGTTACGATTTCCGAGTGCCCGATAGTATAAATAGTATTCGCGTTATTCTCGGTTTTGTCGAAAAAAGAATACCTACCGGCTACCACGCAGTCTGCAGAGGGCTGTACGTATCAATGTGGCAGTATTATAACGTTAGATATAACGTCCACGTGTAATGGCGCGTCATTCATGTGTTACATGTAGTGCGTAAAATATTCTGACGTTGTGCAGTGTGTATAATGTATTCGTGTAAATGTATCTCTGGTGAGCTTGCCCTCCGGGCAGACCTGGTATTATGCTTTACATATACGGGTACGGCGTGGCGTCATGGTCATGACCTGTCCAGTGCAGACACGCCGGGGAGACTTCGACGACGTTCTATGAATGTATTGTGTAACATGTAAACCGGCGCATATGTGTCCTATCCTTTTAATACAGCCAGGCAGCGTTTGGAGAATGCACGTCAAACCTTTGCTTTATGTGACGGTAGTGTATGCTAGAACTAAGCGTAAGCTATAGAATAGTCCATGGATGCGTCTTTCCTCGCAGGGGAGTTGTAACATCTATTCTATAAAAATGCCAAACCTAGAAAACCTGATCCGGCGACCAAATATCGCTTTGACCATTTGTGGTGGACACTCAGACATACTTGTAAGTTACAATGATCGATAGCTGAAATATGTACAAATGTAGCTGTCTAGTCGTAAATCCGTTGTTTGACGGTGCAGCGAACTTATATGGATGTTAACAGTAAGTAAATATATTGTTATGTTGTCATTACCTGTTTTTTCATAGGCACGTCTTAATTTTGAATGCTTACATATATGTGTATTGTGTAGGTATCTAAAGGCCAAAGGCCAGTGTCACTTTGTAAACCATTTTGCATTTAACCCTCGCCGGCCGGGGGGGGGGGGGGCGGGTGCCGCCCCCCATAGGGTTTTTTCGCGATAGCTCCGAACACGCTGGCGATAGAGAGCTGAAACTTAGCATACCTGACCTTTGATCCAAGCCGCATCTTTTGACACCAACCACATTTTTGGGTCAGGTCAGGTCACTGACCTATGACGTCATAAGTGAACCTCTGCACGGTCTTCAGATGTCGCAACTTCGCAACGCCCTCACTGCCAGAGGAGATGTCACAGGGAAATGAAACTTGCAGGATCTAGTATCCATTATGAGTCCCACAACTTGTATATCTCGGATTTTTCCTAAAGGTCATATGAGGTCAGGTCATTTTCGTGACCTCACCATTATAAGTCAATGGGGAAAAATGAAAACTGCTATTCTGGCGCCGGGAACGATCTCCAACTATCTCAAGCACACAGAATCGTGATTTGATGCACTCCTTGCAAGGTTAGATGCGTCACTTTTGCAATGTTGACCTTGCGTGACGTCATTTATGACGTCATCAAGGTCATATTAGTTTTTCGTCAATAACTCTTGATCAAATTGAGCTAGCGAGTCGGAAAAGCCACCAATGGACTCAGGAAGACCTGCCGAATCGAATGATATGCGATATGACCTCTTTCAACCAACTTCGTGACCTGGGGGTGCTGACCTGACCTTGACCTGAGGTCAACACCCCAAGTTGACCTGACCCGGACAAAAAGTATATCATTCGACGCGCCTGAGCAAGACGAATACGATGCTGCCAAAATCGGCGCTCTGTGGCCGTTTTTTGCGAAGTTCTTCACCAAAAACTGAACCGTACCTTGGGGCACTTGACCTGACCTCAGAGGTCACCGGTTGACCTAGGACCTTAAAATCGGGTACCAATCTCTGCGTCTCGTAACGGCGCACACGCTCGTTTTTTCCGCGACGCGCTAGCTTTACCAGGGGCGAAACGGCGAGGGGGGGGTCGTACCCGCCCCCCCCCCCCTCGGCCGGCGCGTATGTAGAAAACCAATAGGTCCGGCGAGGGTTAATAGCCGGTTCATTTAGTTGAAATTCAGCCAGTGCTGCATAATCCTATTTGCGGCATTTGCTAGATTGGGTCAGGAGTTATGAAGGGCGACGACCCTGAATGGACGGGAGCGGCCCTTCGCCCTCCCACCGCGGAGAGAGTTTGGGAGGCTTCTCCATGTCCGCTGTCACGGGCGGAGGGAGAGGCGGAGGGAGAGGCGGTATCGTGCTGCGACGACGGGCCGCAGCAGGGGCGGCGCCAGTGGCGCGAGAGGGAGGGTCTCAGAGGTAAGCCGCTGTGCTAACGGACAGCACCCACGGCACGGACTTCACTCACTGTACGAACGGTTTTCACAGCACGGCTACGTGCCGGTACTATTGGCACTGTGACAACGACGCAGACGGCGCTCACCGCACAGTGACTTGCCGGCGCGACCGGCACTCGAAGGATGACTGGCACTCACCGCTTCGTTTTTGCTCTTTGACATGACTGAAACAGCTGCGGGTAACATTTGAACCGTTCAAAACGTTCAAACAAATTCAGCTCGTGTTAATTCAAAGCTTATTTCTTACCGAAAGTAACGGGGAAATACTACCGAAGTGTGCCTCCTCCTTTCGGGGACGCAAGTGATGACAGCAACGGTCATTCCGTAATCCTCCCTTTGCATGATACGTTATTTGTTACTTGTGTTATCTGCACGCGTACTCTGTAAGTCCTCTAGCACACACTGCGCACATACAATTCAAACGCGAACCATAAAAGCATGCTTCTTCCCTTAGCCTCCACCGACCACATCGCATCGCCTAAAACATCACTTCTGCGGCCTGCAGCTCCAGTTGCCAAGCTAATGTAATGCGTAACCGGTTCCGCCCCGTCTTCCTTACGTAATTCAATCCATCTACCTGCACGGGAGCTGGCGTCGCCCCTGGCCCAGCGGGTTCCCGGTGGCGGCGGGCGGCGGCGGCGGCGGGCAGTTCACTGGCGGCCGGCGCAGGGCGGCGCGGCGCCACATACCAGTCCGCTCGCCGCGCGTGCTGGCTGTAGGACCACGCCTCTGTCCGGACTCAGGACCGACGTAACACGCTGTGAGCCGAGCGAGAAGTGTGGTTGTCAGGACTGACTCAAGACTGATCCAGGAGAAGTGTTGCCGAAAAGTGTTATTCGGTGATTAGACGGACAGCGGCAGGCAGAGACAGTGGTGATTCAGCGGTATAGACAGCGGTGACCAGCCAGCATAGACGGCGACAGCGGACATAGACGGTGGTGAGCGACAGACTGAGCGGTGGTGATCCATCGACAGGGCGTTAGTGACCGGCCGACAGAGCGCCGGTGAGCGGGTCTTAGTGCCCGCCAGGAGCGGGTTTCCTGCCGCGGACACCGCCCTGTGCTTACGATGGGACGGCCGAGCGATGACGGAACTGCCGGTCCCGGCTGGGACCCCGGTGTGGCGAGCAGTGACAGCGGTGCCCAGCTGACTGGCGGCGACCAGAAGGCCTATAGCACGTTCCCGGAGGCGGGGTGCGGCGGCCGACGACCGGCCTACTCGCTGCGCCAGAAGCTGATGCTGCTGGTGTTCTCGATGGGCAGCCTGCTGGCGGGCTCCTGTCTGGCCATGATGATCCCGTTCTTCCCGCTGGAGGCGCAGCGGCGCGGTCTCTCGCAGACACTGACCAGCGGCGTGTTCAGCGTGTTCTCGCTCACCCAGCTGCTAACCTACCCGCTGATGGGCCGCCTGGTGACCGTCTTCGGCATCAACCGGCTCTACTGCGCCGGCATGACAGTCACCGCCCTCTCCAACATCGCCTTCGGCACGCTGTTCCGCATCGAGAGCGCCCAGTCGTTCATCGTGATGTGTTACGTGGTGCGCGTGTTCGAGGCGATGGGCACGGCGGCGGTGATCACGACGGCGCTGACGATGGCGGCCAACCAGTTCTCCCACAACACGTCCACGGCGGTGGCCGTGATGGAGACGATGAACGCCATCGGCCTGTCGCTGGGCGCCGCCATCGGCGCCGGCCTGTACCACCTGGGCGGGTTCGCGCTGCCGTTCTACTCCCAGGGCTGCTTCATCCTGTGTCTGGTGGTGCTGAGCGCGCTCTACCTGCCCGAGGTGGAGGCGCCGGCCGAGCAGCAGCGCTCCGACTTCTTCTCCATGCTGCGCGTGTTCGTGTCGGCCGGAGAGAACTGGCTCTGCTGCGCGATCGTGTGCACCACGGCAGCCATCTGGACCACCATCGACTCGAGCATCGCGCGCTACGCCAGTGACACGCTGGGCACCACGCCCTCCCAGATCGGCCTGTTCTTCCTGGTGGCCACGGGCGGCTACGCCGTCTCCAGCCTGCTCTGGGGCCGGCTGGCCGACCGGCTGGTCAACATCTACCTGCTCATCTCGGGCTGCCTGCTGGCCACGGCCTTCGGTCTGGCGCTGATCCCGCCGCTGCCGGGGCTCGGACTGCGCCCCTCCTGGTGGCTGCTCGGCCTCGGCCTCACCGTGAAGGAGGTGTTCCAGGGCGGCGCATACGTGCCCGTGCTGAACCGCATGATCACTGTGACGGTGCGCCAGGGTCTGCCGGCTGACGTGGCCACGCAGGCGTTCACGGCCAGCGTGTTTGGCACGGTGGCCGCGGTGGGAAACGTGCTGGGACCGGTGACGGGCGGCGCCGTCATCGACGCCACCAACTTCACCTTCATGGTGCGCTGCCTGGCCACGCTGACGGCGGCGGTGGGCGGCGCGGCCACCGTGCAGGCCCTGCGCATCGCCTGGTGGCGGCGGCGCAGTGTCGGACGGGAGGACCCGCTGCTGAGCTGAGCTGAGCTGAGCTGAGCGCTGAGCGGGCTGAGCTGCGGCGGGGGCAGAGCGGAGCTCATAGGAACACGGGGACGGGCAAGAAGCTGTGATTGACAGTGTGTCGGAACTCGCGGAAGGTATAAGGAAACAGTAACCATCAAGAAACATGCGTAGGTTTGGTCGATTGCTTTTTATACCGGCATATACTCGTAATCGTAAAATACGGACTTGTTTGGCTCTTTCATATCGACAGTGCCATCGACCTTGAAGCTATGGGCTGGCTGAATCGAATCATAGACCTCTGAATATCTCTGAGATTGATATGCAGAGGTCTACGGTCGAAAAATGCTATCATCAATCAGTGCCATACCATTCGGGCTGCAGTGAATCGGGAGCGCCAGGGGCATCAGCCGTCACTAACCCGAACCGGGCCCCCGAAGGTGCAGGGGTTTAGGCTCATGTTGCTTTTCTTGCAAGATGCCTGCCGCTCTTTCGTGTCTTTTATCAGCATCGAGCAAATGGGCTGTGTAAATAATCTACGTACGTACCCAATTGTCATGCATCATGACTATAAGCTGCATCTTGGCTTATGATCTGCTACGCCTATGCTTTTTTCATGTCGCTATGTAAACGTTTTTATGCACATTTGTAAAGCATAAATGAAATAAATAATTTCGTCCCACGACTTATCGTTGAGAATGAGGTTGGTAGCGTTATCGTTGTTACTTGTGATAACTATTGAGGAAAGAGGAAAGGGGGGAGACTAGCTCTTTGAGGCGTGGGCTTATTGATCGTCTCAGTTTCATTTCACTTATAATCACTTTTATATGCATTTGACCATTGTTTCTCCTCATATTACGTAGCTCTTGGTATGTGATCAATAACCCTCGTGAAACGGGACTTTTTAAAAGACATCATTGCGCATAAACTTGGCTACTTGCAATCTGAAAATAAACGTGACAACGCGGATATAATATCAAATAACGCCACCAACTTACTATTCACACTTCACACAACCCTTGCATTCACGGAGACATGGGCAATTCATATCACTTTGTCGATATCAAAACAAGCCACCGTCCAAACATTCACCAAACATTACACCAAACACTACTCACATTACCCTAACAACGTAAGCAAGCATAATGCATATTGCATATTCACGAATATTTGCCTTCTCTCACTAAGTGCACTCCGTGGGGCGCGGCGCCGTCCTCCTTATGACCGTTAGAAGGCAGGTCGACGGCCGGCCGGCCGGTCGCCGACGCCTTGCAGCGGCGCTGAACGCCGGTGGTCGGTGGGTACCTCTGCAACACAGTGCAGCGCTCCGCTCTGCTAACCGTGCATGGCCGGAGTCTGGGAACGGACCGCCGCGCAGGTGGCCGGCGGGCAGACTGCAGTGCGCCGCGGCGGAGCGAGGCGTGAGGAGGGCAGTGTGCAGGGTGTGAACTGTGAAACTATACATGGAGGACGGACGGAGGGTGTGAGATTGCACGGAAGGGAAGGACGAGCGGCGTTGATCAATACGATTCAGAATCTATCCTAAATAGGGCGCTGATAACCGCACACGGAGACGTCAGGAAGGGAGGTAAGGTCCAGCCGGCTCAAAAGGTTGCCGTCAGTGACTGTCAGCGTCATTCAGTGTCAGTGTCAGTGTCAGTGCTGTCAGTGACGTAATTGGAACCTCAAGAGAGGATCGAAGCCAGTAACAGGAAGCAGAGGACGGAGCGACGAGAGGAAGGGAACGAATTGAACGTGAAGACGATACGAGTGGATGTCAGGAGAGAGTGAGAGACAAGAGGTCGATATATCTCGGAGAAGTAGTGAGAAATGAGGATTACGAGGAATTTAGAAATCAATTAGGACAAATAGAGGGCGAAAAGGAAGCACAGAGTGTGGGAAGCAGTCGCAGGACGATCACGGCATTGAGAACGAACGAATAATGACGTATAGAATATAGAGGAAACAGAGATCTAGTGTGAAGAATATGTCGAGAAGAGTGTGACGCCTGTCGCGGAAAGCAGCGACGCCGGTGTCCAGCTGAAAATGCGGCTGCCGATAGCTCCATGTCCTGTGATCCGCCACTGGACAGGTTGTGTCAGGTAAGTACCGTTAAAATCACCAATAGACAGTTCTGATGCCGTTTATGGGACGTATTCATTATTTATTAATTTATTACTGACTAACGTGTTGTACTGATTACCAGCTGATTACTTTTCTATACTCGTGAAGGGGAAGCACGAGTATAGAAAATACCGTTTTACCCCGTTCGTTTTTATTATGGTAAGCATGACCCATTTGCAATAAAAATGAAGCCGCCCGTCACGGGTTGTTTGTAAAAACGTGTTAAAATGCCTCTGTTACAGGTTGTTTGCAGCAGTGCTAGCAGTCTGCTGTGTCGTTCTCGTCATAAATCAAAATGGTAAGAATCAAACGTTTTAAATTTTAATGTCACTCTCACTGTGTTCGGTACTTACATGTTCCGACTGAGTTAGATAAAAATGTGAATTATTTGCAGACTCTCATGTTTTGTCTACCCCGGTCCATTCAAACACTATGAACTTTTGCTAAATACAGTATTAATACTACCATGATTTTCTAAGTAAAAACTTTATTCAAAAGAATTACAGGTGTGAGAACAACAGTTGTGTCCCTCCCAGCTCCGTTGACTCCGTGACGATGTTTCTGTATCGTGTTACCCAGCCGCTGATCCCGTGTGCCGTCGTTGCAGTTCCCAGGGCCATTGACAGTGAGAGGAGTCGGGTGGCCTGCCGGCGGCTGTTCCGGCTCAGTCAGTCGCGGATGTACTGGGAGAATCCGTCACAGGACTCGCCGACGTCCTGTCTCGGCTCCGGCCTGCCGCCCAAACAGTCCATCCCGTGCCTGACGAGACTTCGCGAGCGGCGCGGCCGACCCGCCTACGTCATGTTCATAGGTGACTCTCGAGCGCGCATTATCTTCATGAAGATTCGTGAGACTCTGAAGCTGCTGTGGCGGCGTTACATCTTGCACGATACCTACCAGTCGTCCAAGAACGCCACGTTTTGGGAGCGCGGCCGGCGGCTCCGCTGTCCGCACGCCACTCCCATGTTTCACGGCACCCGGTACCTCCGATGGGTGTGTCATCTGGAGGTTCTCAGTGACCTAGTGCGCGCCTCCTTCTTCTGGGCGCCGTACGTCGGTGCCGGCTACGCCGAGCGGCTGGCCGTGGTCGAGGAGGACTGCCGTAGCGGCCGGCCATGTCCCGACCTCATCGTCATGACGCTGGGGATGTGGTACGCCAAGATGGCCATCGACCGGCCGCACCTCACCAGGCCGGAGCGGCCGCTGCACTTTCAGGCGGACCTCGAGAGCCTGGTGCCGGTGCTGCGTAATCTCTCCGTACACTCCCAGCTGGTGTACCGAGTCGATGGGCCCGATTTCATGGACGGGTACGGCAACAAGTCGGTGGTGAACGGCGCCATCCTCACCATCAACGCCATGGCCACCGAGAATCTGCGCAAGGTGTGTCGGAGTTGTGGGCCATGGGAGGGCAGCTGGGAAGGAACGGAAGTTGCTAGAAGCCCGTTTGTGCTTTACGGATAACTTACAAAAAAGTATTATACAACAGACGATGAAGGTTATAATGAATTATCCCTCGCATGTGTAGGGGGGGGGGTCGGATGGACCCCCCCATGGTTTTTCGCGAATAACTCGCGGAAAAAGCGGCCGATCGCGACGAAACTTTCAGTACCCTCGCATTGATCAATTTTACACCGATCCTGAAAATTTCATGACCCTGACCCAAATGACCTTTGACCTGTGACCTCTTTTCCGAGACCATGTTTGGCCGGAATCGCGATTCCGCGTATGTCGGCTCGCATTAGCCGCGCGTTTGCAAGCTTTTCGTGGTTTCAAACGTTCAAACATGTGATTTGATGTTACTCCCATGCATTAGGGTGGGTGTCAAGGTCATCTGAAGGTCAGGTCAGGTCATTGACCTTTGGTGACCTCGGGTGACCTTGGTTCACTTTTTCGAGTTTTACATGTTTCTAGGCTAGTTTTTGGAGCTGAATTCGAATTTAGCAACTATTTGAACATTTACGAAGCAGTTTTGGTGCCTTCGTAACATGTTACGAAGCTGTCAGAGGCGGTTGACACGTACTACGAATACCCGTCACGACGCCTACTGGTTGACCTGACCTGACCTGACCCGACCTGGTCTAAATGTTTAAAGACATCATCTGTGATCAAAACTAACACGATATTCGTGATCAGCACCCCGAAAAACCCCTTAGCAGCCACACTTTACGACTTTCTAATAGGTCCCGATTTTCCCGACTTTGGGTCATTGACCTGACCTGGAAGGTCAACCAATGACCTAGGACCTTAAAATTGGGTATCATCGGCTTTCTCTCGTGACGGGCAACACGCTCGTTTTTTTCGCGAAGCTCTAGCTCGATCAGGGGCCAAACGGCAAGGGGGGGTCCAACCGACCCCCCCCCCCCTACACATTAGAAGCTGGCAAACGCCGCACACATGCGAGGGTTATAATGTTTACATCGGTACGAAAAAATATATCTAGTTGATATATATCTAGTTGAAAAATATACCTCATTGATTTTCTGATCACGCTGTCAGATTTTACCGCTAGACGGCTAGAGAGACAGAAATTGAGAGCGAACAAACTGCCCTGAATGTCTGCAGGCACCGAGTTTGCAGCCGTGTACTGTGTCTAATGTGGGTGTGCCCGGTGCCGTGCCTTATACGGGATATGGTATTATGTAGGCCTTACAGTCCTGCCATCTGTCCTCAGGTGCCTGGTCTGCAGCTGTGGAGTTCCTCGCTGGCCGAGACGATCCGGTTCCAGCACAGCGTCTGTCTGCAGCTGGCCGCCATCCACACACCCGTGCTGGGCAGGCACCGGGACCAGTGCCTGGACGAGAACCACGTGGCCGAGACGGTGCGGCTGTCGGCGGCGGCGGCCATCGTGCGGTACCTGTGCCGCGACACGGAGCCGCACCCGGCCGGTCACTGCTGTCTGACCTGACACAAACCCGCCAGGTCACTGCTGTCTGACATAGGGGACTGACACAGGGTACTGAGTACTGACACCAGAGACACGGAGCCCCACCCGGCCGGTCACTGCTGTCTGACCTGACACGGAGCAGTACCCGCCAGGTCACTGAGCTGTCTGACATAGGGACTGGACACAGAGACTGACACCAGCGATACGGAGCCGCAGCCGGCCGGTCACTGCTGTCTGACCTGACACAGACCCGGCAGGTCACTGTTGTCTGACTTAAGGACTGATACAGAGGCTGACACCAGCGATACGGAGCCGCACCCGCCAGGTCACTGCACTGCATGCACGGGTCTGATACCCAGCGACACAGGAGACTAACACAGAGGACTTACACAGGACACTGACACAGGGTATTGACACAAGGCTCTGACACAGGATTGCGACACAGGACTCCGACACACGAAACTGACACCAACGGATCGGCGGATGACACCGATGACGCCAGGGGTTGAGACTATGCGGAGTGTCAAAAAATATCCCTACCAAATGCGGAATTAATACAAAACAGTCCTAATTCTGTGACCGATATCTTGCACTCGTATTCTTTGTGATCCCAGACTGCAGGCCGCAGGGTCATTGGGAGATAAGACGCGCTGCAAAGCACTGAGACTGACGCTTGCCCACAACTCACAGCTCGCTGATTTTGTGGGACGCCGTTTAGCGAGTTGTGACAATATGCTGGTCACAGCATATTTAGTTTGGTGCATGATGTAATGCAATGCAGCATTTGTTCATACAGAAGAACGACCGAAAACATCGCCATGAATTGGCATGCCGAATTGTTGCACGCTTTATGTAACTTTATGTAACTTTATGTAACATGACATAACGGCAGCTGGTAGCAGCTCGTGTGGCTAGCGTGCACCGTGCCACAGACGGTCATTTTTACGTCAGTCACATCCGATTTTCAAGTCACTTCTCGCGAATATCTACAAACGGTAAATAGGTAGGCATGCAATGCTTCTCGCGTCGAATGCCTGCCTTTCTGAGTTGCGGAACGTCAACCATAATTAATAGTTAGTTGCGAAGGTACCCCGAATAGACAGAAGAGAGCCTGCGCCCTGCATGATACCATGAGTAAAAACATTGATGATGAAAATATCGAAACGCGATGCACAGACTCGTAGACTATCGATATAATCAAATCCCAAATCCCAATGACAAATTATAACCGATTGGTTGGTCGGCTTTGGGTATATTTACTGCCTTTTATTTCATACTTTTTCGACAATATTTGCATTTTACGGTTTGAAACCCGGGGCTTCGCCACCGGAGGCCAGAAGAAGGGCTGCGGATGTCCAAACTCCCCAAACAATTTCGTTCTCTTATTGCAGCAATAGGTATGTAAATAGGTGTATCTAACTAAGGGCGCGCATTATTGGTTCGGAACTTACGATCCTAACTTTATGTCATACTGAATTAAATAGGAGCTCCGTCACGGTTCTATGGTTAGATGGTACCACCCAAAAATACACGCTCTCATATTAATTTATACAGGTGCCCTATGTTTCGTTTACATTTGCTGGAATGCTTGTAATCGGTCACAAGTGTGCTGACGCGCGAGCACTGAGCAGTGCGCTGCTAGCGTCACCTGACGTGAAGAGTGAAAAAGCTTCAGTTCTTCAGGCTGCCGCTGGGTTTGTTGCAACAAACATTGCATGCAATGCTGGTCACTTGAAGCTTAGTTTGTACATTCCGTGAGGAGACATATGATATATTCAGGAGCAAAATGCATAATTTTATAAAGCATCAAATGTTAAAGGTAGTGTGCCACCTTTGAAAGATTTCCCATTTTATTTTTCCTAGGATAAGAAGCTTCTGTTTTTACCTAATATCGCAAAAAAAATCAAAAATGGGCCTGGAATAGTGCCTTTTTCGCCTAAAAGTTTATCGGTTTTTCGATATGTATAACAACTGTAGTGGGCTCACCTGCAAACAGGCGTCGGCAACAATCGCGAATGCGGCGCACATGTGACAATAAGCAAAGGTCATTGTAGTGTTACGACCATACGACGTACGGGAATGAGTTATCAGCTGTCTAATCGTAGACAGCACAATGTCGAGCCTTAAACTGTAAGCCTGTATTGGTATTGTTTCTTTTATTTGGCTGTCGAACATTATTTATGGTTTGAAATATGATTTTATGTAAAATAATTGATATGAAAAAGCCGTCTCATAAGTTATAACCCCATTTCACCACACGCAAGTGGCAGAAATGACAATGATCAGCTGACGCATTTTTCTTGGCCGAAGTCAGAGCGCGCAGCCCGACGCACCACCACCGCACCACAAAGTATGAGCAGAAGCCGCGCCCAAAGCCAGGGCCCCGGTAACGTGAGGTAGCCGAGTCGGGGCAGCGTGCGCTGACCCAAGCCGGGGCCGCAGCTTTGGGCGCGGTCTACCGCATCCCCGCGGGCAGCCCCGGGCTATCACATGACACCGGGAGGACGCGCGGCTCCGGCTTGGGTCAGCGCACGCTGCCCTGACTCGGCTACCTCACGTTACCGGGGCCCTGGCTTTGGGCGCGGTCTACCGCACCACCTAACAGGCGTGTTCGAAACCGCAGGAGCTGATGATGAACGGGTTTATCGAAACTTGATTGGATGAGCATATCGGTAATAGCGATTTCAGTGTGTGCATTTATTGTTCATAGTGGTGTGAAATGTGGTTGGGGTACGACCGACAACCCGTCGGGGCGAATTTCGCACTGGGGTACTCAAAATTTGAAGAATTTAAGACGTTTCCATGAGTTTTGAAGGTATGGATAAGTTCTAAAAATCCGGTTCTCCTTATCTGGGCCATTAACTCCATACGGTCCAGGAAAGCTGGCACACTACCTTTAAGGTCTCAGGTCAACTGGTAACCATTGAGGTGTGACTAAAAACCAAATCCAATATAATGCAATAGGCCAAGTAGGTATCTGTCCTGACAGAAAACAGGCATTTGGGTGCCAAATTATCTTGCTTGAGTGAAAGTTAGGTGTGCCAGGTCTCAGCTCTCTTTTCGCTATTCCCTGTTCCGAGGAATAGCGAAAAAAGACTTTCGGGGGGTGGCTGCGTGGCACGAACAGCCAGTCTACATCTATCCATCGTCTAAGTTCATCGTCTATCTATCCGTTCCCTACATCCGTCCGTTTACAGCATACATTGTGCACAATTGATTATGTTCAATTTATCAGCATTGGGGATGCTAGGTGACGCCGTTTTAGAGAGACGCTGTTATTGCCAAAGAAGATGAACAATAAAGACTGTCTGCATGGCCGGTCGAACTACACCCAGCCTAAAGATGAAATGCTCGGCCCTTTGCCGTTCCCGACAGGCAGGTATAATTACTGTGCTTCTGTCGCCCATATTGATCTAGTTTAGGTAAAGCCTAGTTCAGGCATTAAGTTCACCGGTGGATGCTGGACGCCTTGTTTATCAGTTTTTCGACTCCAGTACTCCGAAAATAGCTGCGGCGTTGGCCCCGTCCCGTCCAGAATATCTACGCTCTACAAGTATGTGCTATGGCGCTGGTCCCCTCCAGTTTGGAATCTGTGCACTCTAGCCGGCGGCAGAGACGTGACGCCTCGTCTGAGGAGGGGAGGCGGGGAGGCGGGAGGCGGGAGGCGGCCGTCAGAGGTGGCGGTCTCAGAATCGCCGCGCCGCCGTCGACGAACCGCAGCCGCCGGTACCGCGTGGTTCAGTCGTGTGCGGACCGCGCGCGCTGCAGGGTGTTCGGTGATGGCTCCCCTGACGGTGTGGGTGCTGGCTGGCTGTCTGCTGGGAGTGACCTCCGCACAGTCCACAGAAGGTGAGCGAGAGGCGTTCCCGACCAAACCGGTCCCCGGGCGGCGTCACAGGCCACCGGGAAGCCGCGGCGACCCTTCGGAATTCCCCGCAGAGCAAACCATCGGTCGTGCTTAGGGGTTGTTCTGTGTAATTTGCTGTGTGATGCATCATATTGCCAGTGGGGAGTCGAGAGCCCGGTACATGTGGCCAGATGTGCAATCGAGAAGCTCAGTGTTCTGTGAACTGTTCTGTAGTGGGACGGTAGCAGAAACAGCACGCCAGAGTTTCCATTTATAGAGGCGTTTGACCCCAGCTGACCTTGAATGCCCACCTCCTCCGGGACGGCGCACATCTCCGGCGCCGGGAGCAAAAACACTCGCAGAGGTGGGCCGTGCGGCCTTGGCCCTGGACAACCGAGGCTCACCTGACGCTCTTGGACAGTCGATGTAATCAGCCATTGGTTGTGAGGTTCACATGTCCGTTCTCGGCAGTGTGGGACATATGACGGCCTTGTTGAGGCAGTCGAGCTATATGGCTATTGGCTATGCCTATCGCGGGCTTAGCTCGGCAGTCAAGAGTCATATTTCGGAAGCATGGCAGTTGATATTTATTATTTGCTTTTCGTCGCTGAAGCCAATCGTAACAACATAAAGCAAGCCAGTGGCCGATCCCGGGGGGGGGGGGGCAAAATGGGCATTTGTTTCCCCCCCCCCAAACGGCATAATTTTGACATTAAGCCTATGGACGATGCATGGAAAGAATCGATAAATTGTTATGGTTTGCCCCCCCCCCCAAAAAAAAACTCTTGAGCTGGATCCGCCTCTGAAGCAAGCCGTTCAAGGTTGACCAAATGATAGATTTAGTCCTTAAACGTTTTATTTCGTATTATGAGCCGTAAGGGGGTTAAAGAAAAAAAGCACGTTTGTAGCCAGCCTATCATATGTGGCGCCGACCGTCACAACTGAACTGTTCCAAAATCATGCTGTCCTTTATACGACCGATGCGTAATAGCTATGTGAATAGGCACTACTGTCGTCATAAGGCGAACTGTTGCAGATCAAATTTTTCCCGAAGACCGCATCGGCAATGTCGATGTTTCGATCCATCCAGTCGGCTGATTGCTTCCCTAGCTCATCATCATCATCATGATCATCTTCCTCGTATTGCAGGCCGACTAATAGAAGCAATAGACGACCAAAATACCCTGGTCGTGCATGCATCGTCCATGCTGCATACAACCTTATTGCAGTTGGTTTTTGGCTCTGGATGGCAAGCCGCAAGTAGGCTAACACCTATATACCCTGGGCTAACAGACATGTGTCAATGTTGCGCGAATATATCCAACAATGACAAAACCCATGAGCATATACTACGCCACCCATACCATGCCAGTCATCGCTGCCGTTTCTAATAATCCCCGAGAACACCGGGACTCAGCCGCACAAGCAGTCTCAGCGGAGGTTCGGTGATTGTATCTCGATCCATGAGATCGAATTTCACACCGCGGTTCTGCGTTCGATTTCACTACTTCCTGATGTGGATGGCCTGCGGTTAAAGCGGCTGTGACTGTACCTGTGGCCAGGTGAAAAAAGTGAGCGGCACTGCAGTGTATTGACGAGTTATGTTTCCACCTTTAACCTGTCATTTCCACTCAAGCCGAGATCCTGGACTCCCGGGAAATAGTTCAGTTACTTCAAATGTAAATAAACCGTTTAACCAGCAGCCTTGTACTCGAACATGTAGCTACTCAAATAGTGTGCTTGGCTCAACTGAATTTCTCGTATCTATGCTCGTTCAACTCTTGCCTTGTTTGACATGTTACATAATGAAATGTGTGTATTCAATATGAATTTATATGCCCATCCCGAATATGTACTGTGCATAAATGTGCACTGTGCAGGAAGGCACAGAACCACTAGTCTCTCTCTCTCTCTCTCTCTCTCTCTCTCTCTCTCTCTCTCTCTCTCTCTCTCTCTCTCTCTCTCTCTCTCTCTCTCTCTCTCTCTCTCTCTCTCTCTCTCTCTCTATCTCTCTCTCTCTCTCTCTCTCTCTCTCTCTCTCTCTCTCTCTCTAGCTCTCTCTCTCTAGCTCTCTCTCTCTAGCTCTCTCTCTCTAGCTCTCTCTCTCTCTCTCTAGCTCTCTCTCTCTCTCTAGCTCTCTCTCTCTCTAGCTCTCTCTCTCTCTCTAGCTCTCTCTCTCTCTAGCTCTCTCTCTCTCTCTCTAGCTCTCTCTCTCCCTCCCTCTCTCTCTCTCTCGCTCTAGCTCTCTCTCTCTCTCGCTCTCTCTTTTCCTCCCTCTCTCTCTCTCTCGCTCTAGCTCTCTCTCTCTCGCTCTCTCTTTTCCTCCCTCTCTCTCTCTCTCTCTCGCTCTCTCGCTCTCTCGCTCTCTCTCTCTCTCTCTCTCTCTCTCTCTCTCTCTCTCTCTCTCTCTCTCTCTCTCTCTCTCTCTCTTCCTCAGTACAGTGTGCTCTCCGCGTTTGCCCCTTTAATTTATTCCATTCCCCGCTGTGTGTCCACTGGCCTGTAAGTTTGCTCGTTCATAGCTGCATTGCATGAGTTTCTCCGAAGTGCTTATTCAACTGCCCATGCTTTTCTAAGCAAGTGTGACGGGCCGTGGTGGAGCCGGCCTCCCAAGGTTATCGCATTGAACTGACCCTGGTATAACGTTGCAACATTATCACGTAGAGAAATGGAATCGTGCTCAACAATTGACAGCCGGACATGTCACGTATACCGGCATACTGTGGGGAAGTAGGTATGTAACGCTGTACATTGACCATTGAACTGCTACGTAAAAACGATTACAATAGGGTACGTGTGCCAATAATGGTTCGTCGATATATAGCCACACATTGACAGTGGGACAGGGAGGCATAGGAGTCATCCCCATATAACTCGATTTATAAACCAGTCGAACCCATTTTATTATGGCAATGGCGGTGAATAGAAAATGGATACCCGATCATTATGTAGGTCTCTGGAGTTTTCAAAACCAGCAGTAACCATACTTTTTGTTGTTTTTCCCTTCAGAAGATTTTCAAATGTCACTCAGTCGTCAGATGGTTGTGACCACTGACCAGACAGTTCGATCAATCCGAGCGATGGGCGTCCTGTAGCCGGAGTAGGTTGAGAGCTCAGCCACTCTCTGTCACTGGACACTGTTGACCGTCCATCTACCCAGCAGCTCGACCGATGTATATCCTAACTCGGTAGAGACGATCAATAGTTCCAGATGACTTCACCCGCGGCGCAAGTCGGTTATGAGCAGCTAGCCCCCGTCATCAATGTGACAATATTGTCCCAGTTCTAAAAATTCCCTTGTCCGACGCCATGGCCTCGTGTGACGAATGGTGGCATTGTGGAACGTGGACATGTGCCGAATGCGGGTACTGTACACTTGTGCGGGTTTCCCGTTTGCTCCAATGCATTGTTTTGATCGCGCTTCTTGTCTACACATCTGTTGTATTTTATTTTCAGACACATGGGTCCGCGAACTATTCACTGTTCTAGATTTATTCGTATGCACAATAAAGTCAATATAGTCGACGTTGGTAGCATATCATTGCGTGACCACAAGGCGAGGGCTTCATTGCGTGATACATTGTCCATTTTTAGGAGATATGCTCGAAACCCTGTTCTCTCTCGTCCCAGACAATGTAATCATGTTCACAGTAATGGACCATGTTCTTAGTGTATTGACATGCATGCACCGGCCAGCTCTCAGCACTGGATTTACCTGCGCTGGCTTCAAACAAAGACGAGGCAAACTGCTAGAAGCGGAATGTACCCAACCATTACGAGTTATGTTGCATCACTCATTTCACCTTCACCTATACATGCATGCATTGCTTACATGTGCTCATTACAAAATAAGGGATGTGATATATATGAGCCTCGCCGAGGATGTGTAGGTACAGCGAGGTGGGAATCCCCGGTGAAAATTAAATAGTTACGAGCACTGATACTAGTACGTTGGACAGTACGGTGTCTTCGACCAATAGACAATTGCAATTGCAGTTTAGGCAGCCAGGCTAGCCGGGGCTGCAGCCAGAGTCGCGCGTGACGCCATCCGTTAGTGATGCCTCCCTGGCCATATTTGAGCCCTATCGCATGGCCCTATGCCGGGCGGACGGTCGTACCCAAGGCCATGGGAGCTCGGCTAACGGCCCGACGTCGTCATGTCGCTGCTGCAGACACTATACGTCCAGCCTGCACTAACACTACACTGCACTACAGCCTGCACTACAGACACTATACGTCCAGCCTGCCGTGCATCGACAGCCAGCGTCAAAACCTATACCGTCTGCGAGGCTTACGGGAACAGGCAATGCGATACCTATAACTGAAGCTGATTTCATAGGGACTGGGCCATCCCGAACGGAGCAATGAGTGTATCGGGGAAAACACACTCCGAGTAAAAATAAATATCTGGTCATGTCTTGGTTGGTTATGTCTCTATTGTGCACGTTTAGGAGCGCTTTGTGTTCAAATTATTCCCGTTAATCCGGCAATGGTATTCTGTTTATTAATTTTGGTTATAGCTTTATATAGTTTTAAAGTTTTTCGTTTTCTTTTATTTATTTTTTTGTATACAGTTTTGTTGACGTATAGATATGGCCAGTGGTTTTGATCCCTATTTGAATATAATTTGGCCTTATTTGACTGAAATGATTTCTTGTTCTTGTTTTCGGAATATTTATCACTGTGGATATCACACACAGCCTGTGTATATGCATTGCTCATTGCTCACATGTCTTCATTCCTTCCTCGGTAGATTTTTATGACATGTTTAATCTGGCATGGATGTGGCAGTGGTTGCATGATCCAGTAAGCGAAAGTTCTTATTACGGTCACGATATTAATTTACCTTGCGTTCGGCATCTGGAAAAGGAGGGATAGTTATCCGGGACCACCGGTAATTATTTGGTGTCACATTGATGCAATTAGTCACATTTTTAGATTGCTTTTGCTTCACTAATGGCTCTTCTACTAGTTGTCATGTCCGTTATGCACGGTGTCAGCCATGTGTCAGCCTATGACACCGAATGATCTCGGTGATCCCAGATAATGTTCCCTGATTATCCGGATGTCGAACGCACGCTTAGTAAGCCATAATCTGCACACATGTGTTTGAGAACTGTATAAATAGCAGAACTCAGTCACAGGAGACGCTCGCAATGTCGCCGCCAAAAATATTCGTGACTCTGCCTCCCAAACGATTTGGTGGTTGTCAAGTGTAAGAGATTTTGAAGAAGAAGAAAAAAACTGATTTACTACTGAATTGGGAATTAGGTTTTTATTGTACCGATATCAAAGCCTCATTTACCCTGTACTACAGTCCAGAGTCCACACCGACTGCTAGCCGCACATAGTTTATGGTGTCATTACGATTATGACTCGAGTATGACGTATTCCACCGATGTCACGTGGTGACCTCCTGACAGGAAGATCCCCGTTACAGACAACGTGTTCTGGTACCGCGAGGCCGAGGGAGAGCTGGAGGAGGCGCTCAACAATGAGCCGAACCGGAACCAGGCCAAGAACATCATCGTCTTCATCGGCGACGGCATGGGCATTCCGACCATCACCGCCGCCAGGTAGGTTAGAGGGCAGGGATCATCACCGCTCCCAGGTGGGTCAGAGGGCAGGGACCATCACCGCTGCCAGGTATGCGGTCATTGTCGGACCATCACGGGAAGCACAGCTACTGTTACAGCATTTACTGTAACCTATTTGGGAACTGGGATGCCGTCTGCAGCTTTAAATAGCTCGTGATTGTTGTCATTCTCTGAGAATGGGACGTTCCAGCGCTATTGTACTACGAGACCTATACCCTACATACAAGACTCCCAAAACGGCATGTTTTGCATGAAGGCCAGTTTTGTCACACTTATTATTGACTTGTTTCACTGGAATTACGAGAGGTTGACATTCATGTGTGAACATAACTTATGCATAAATTTAATTTATAAATTTAAATTTATAAATTGAATTACATAGATTTATGCTAAAATTGTATCGGCATTTTAGACCGAAGGTTAGACCGAAAGTTAAGTATCCACGAAAGGATGACAAAGATCCGGGAATGGTTGACAGACTATTATAAAGATCCGAAATATACCTTCACGGGCTGTCTTATGATATAACACCTAAAATCAATGTTTGTACCGGACGGGTGACGTATACCTAGGTACTATTTATTTCGTTTATTTTTTCAGAATCTACAAAGGGCAACAGCAGGGAAAGAACGGAGAGGAGGGCCATCTGTACTTCGAGAAATTCCCCCACGTAGCGCTTTCAAAGGTAAGCTAACATCGCCTTCAGAAAATTGTAAATTGAATTATTCAATTACCTGTTAAGTGCATTACTAGTAAGTATAGGCAGTGGCTGGGCCATCGGCGTTGTTTGAAAGTTCGTTCAGCCATGCAGCTGTGGAGGTTCGATCAGCCAAATTAAGTGCGATGACTCTCTATACTTGGTCAGCTCCCGGCCACAGCTTGCCAAACAAAATCCACCATTAAACTCACAATGAAGTACTGCTGCAATAACCCAATGTAGACTGGTTGTGGCTTTCTATATCGATTGACCTGAGAAGCTCAGTTCAGAATATTCACTTGTGGCTCGCGAAACAGCGGCACTTCAATTTGGCTCCAAATTCGTCTCAATGCCAATTACTTTCATGATTTCATGATACTTCGGCACTTCGGTAATGGTCGCAAAATACAGCTGTTTGTAGGGCCATTTTTTGTTCATTTTTTATGCTTTTTATCTCCCGTCAGTCTTGAACAGGTAACTATGCCCATGAACAGGTGAATGAACGTTAAGGCCCTGGTGGCGCAGTCGGTTAGGGCGTCGACCCGCGGTGCGGGCGGTGCCGGGTTTCGGGTTCGATTCCCGGTTCCGCCCGTTCCGCGGGCGTCGTCCCCGGCTGTGTCACCAGGTGTGGGGTAGGCTCCCACTTCAGCCGTAGCCTGGGGGGTGTGGGAACAAGGGCCAGGAGGAGGAGGAGCCCTTCTGTAATTGGGCCACAAATGCCTGTTAGAGGGAGGCCTAAATAAATAAAATTAAATAAAAAATAAGGTAAAATAATTGTTTTTCGTAGCGGAATTATTTTATATGTAAGACTACTTTGTAATGTAAATAAGCTTATGTTACGAGTGGCTTTTGGCGCCACCAAGCGCTTTACCGCCATGTTTCGAGCGCCATTTAATTGAAAGAATGTAATATAATTGAAGCTAAGCCACCGCTCCCCGAACAACTTACGCTATAGTTGAATGGTCACATCGACCGAAATTCATGCAAAGACTCCTCAGGCTCGCTCGCGGAAAGTAAGCATCACCATAAGCAAGGGGAATATTTGTTTCTGGTACCTAAAAAGCTGTTTCTGGCACCTAATTGCTGATCAGCCCCAAAATGCTTATTCGACCCTAATATCTGAATCTGGCACCTAATTGCTTCCACACAGCCTAAAGTTGCCAGATCGTCTAGTTGAACTCCGTATTTGCTGTTTGCTGATTCAGCACCAAAACCAAAACATCTAGCACCTATTTTATTCCACGTTTGCCTACCTAATTCGCGTAATCTTCCTGATTTTATGTATCCTAACAACATGAACGTTGCATTCGGTGATGTCAAGTGCCATTTTCGCCAGTGGAGATAATGATTAATGCCATTTCTAGCCAAAAGAGAATCACTAGCCAGCTATGGTGCAGCGTAGCAAGACGCTCCTATACCAGCCCGCTATGTAGAGACTAGAGATTATTGCACCCTCAGCCATTTTAACGTGAAAAGTTTGGATCCGTTTTTTCCAGCCAGGCTCTCAGGTCATAAACTGGAGTAAAGCAGAATGTCAGCTCTGAACAGACATGCCACGCAACCGGCCCTCTTTTCAATATTATTAGCTTTCTGCAATCATCGTCTGACTCCATCTCGATCAAAGGCAGCATCCGGTTTCTACAGGGGCGTTTGACTGACCGGCCACACAATAACCAAAAACAAAATCAAAGCTTCATGCACACATATGCCATACGTAAGAAACGGATGAAAAGGGCACAACCACGGCACAACTCTGCGCGGCAAACAACGGACAATGTCCCACGCAAGATCCCGCGTTTCTTCAGCGGCCTTGAACGGAATGAAAACATTACATTTCTTTTTTGGAGCTATTTGATGACGTCAAAAAATACAATACCCGTTTTAATGGTCAAAATCGAGACAATTACTCACAAAAATGTTTTCCTTTAAGCATTACAAATAAATACTTTTAAATATTTGAATGACATTGTTTTTTCAAACAAATTAATATTATTTGCTTACTTAAACGTCATATACAATGCTGAGATCACTACGGGGCTGTCTTAGAGTGTAGCTGCACTGGCAACCTTTAGGCTAGACTCCAGGGGTCATTATACCAGAACAACATGATTCTACCAGCCAGTAGTTCATTTTTCTACTAGATTGGTGCTGCGCTCAGCATTTAGGTGCCAGATTCAGAAAAAAGAGTAAGGCGTACCGATGAATAGGTGCCAGAAACAGCTAATTAAGGTCATTTTCCATGATTGGTGCTGGTATCCACCAAATAGGTGCTGAGGACCAATTTTGGGGCGAGTCAGCTTTTAGGTGCCAGAAATAGCTTTTCTGGGACGCAATTAAATGGCGTCCCATAAGCAATAAGCATGCCTTCTTCATGATGGTCATGCCAGATCGTCATGCGACATCCTCGTCTCCCCTGAACCTCGAAATAGCGGTGCAGATGCGGCAGGGTGGGTGTGCCCTGCTCATGTCTCCGGCGGCAGACAGCGCCGAGGGCCGGCACGAGATCCGCCGCGTCGGACTGGTCCCTGCAACACCGGAATCAGACCTGGACCGGACTGCTCGGCACTCCATGGAAGGTCACTGGCCGCCGCCACAGCCGGCTGGGACCCGGTGACGTCACTGATGTAGCGAAGGCGTCAGTGACGTCACAGTTGCAGAACCGGCCGACCGGGAGGAGCGCCAGGCTGTCGCGGGACGCTTTAGCCGAGAGGCGGATAAGCTACGGTGGTGACAGATGAGCTGTAGCGATGGCAGCTGAGCTACGGCGGTGAAAAACTGAGTCACGGTGGTGACAGATTAGTTACGGTGATGCAGACGAGTTACGGCATTGGCAGATTAGATGAGTTGCGATATTACGGATGAGTTACGGTAACGGCAGATAAACCACGCCTTTCAGAAATTGTTACGGTATAAATGACAGAAAAGTTCCAGGCGGTATGGCGCCATAGAAGCCTAGATGCTCGGATGAGGTCCGTGCTTCGGACCGGGCCCGGCTGGAGGGAGAGTTGACCGCAACCGACACAGGCAGTCAAAAACCCATGTGCAGAACCGTCCGGAGCCCCAGCCCGCCGCCCAGCCCGCTGTCCCAGCCCGCTGTCACGCTTTCACTGCTGGTCAGCGACTTTGGACGCGATGAGAGCGTGGTCGGCGGCGCGCGCCACAAATTTGGCGAGCTGTGTGGGACACAGCCGTGACGTGGCAAATATTCCGAGCCGGTAATGTTTCTAGCTGGAACGGGTCGACGGTTTCTACTAAGACTAGTGACGACATAGTGTGTCATACCTGTTGACGGAGTCCTGTGATCCGTTGCATCATCGGTATTCAAAGGAGGAATTTATACATGTCCACTGTGTTGCGCAGCCAGCTACTTTTATATAACTTGCCCTCACGTGTTCTTGAATAGTCAGCCACAAGCACGACCGGAATAAGGCACACGGCACGAAACATCAGAGCGGGTGGAATAATGATGATGAGTGCATGAATAAATAGGACCTTATGTAGCTGGAGATAATTCATCGTCAGCTTTCCTTCTCGAAAAGTGGACGCAGCGCACTGGTCAGCGAGCTACCTGTTCTCGTCACTGTCTGACGCGACCATGCCTGTTGCTCACGCCATGCAGGGAAACCTTTTCCTCGGCATGATAGCTCACATCAAGATCAAGACGGTCACATGAAGGCCGGTATTATCTCACCTTGTTCCCTGTTCGCACCTCGCCTGACTCTTTGACCGCTTTGACTCCAAGCCGGAAATAACGCGTGAACAGAGCTGTATGTGAGGCAGCCAAGGTGGGCAGTCACATCCGATGTTCAGTCATCACAACACGCAGCCTTTGTCACCGGGAGTCGGTCTAACGGCTGACGACGTCAGTCTGACGCACAGTCAGTGCGGGGCTTCTCAGCAGCCGTGGCTCCGTCGGCAAGACCGTAAAACAGCCAGAGGATATGTTACATGCCGTCAACATAGCAAGTAAGAGGTGGATTCTGGACAACATTCGAGTTGAGGTAACGCGAGGACGGCTTCCAGCTGCACTCAAAGCGCGGACATCACGTTAACTCACGTCACGTCCCCACTGATGCTGGCGTTCGGCTCACGTATGCCAACAGCAGCATTTTGTCAACGTCAAAAAGTAGTGGATGGACACCATTGGCATAGCCATTGCCGGCACTAAAGTTCAATCCTCTGCCAAGGATTGGTATTCATTGTTTGTAATCAGATGTTCAGCAGATGCAACATTTATGCCAACTCCCCAAAGAAATATGAGCCATTGTCGCTGCCGAGACCACAGATGCTACCTCATCTGTGCATTTCCACTTATAAGCAGACGTGCAGAGCTGTTCAGATGGGAAGCCAGCTGTATTCGGCTCTGCCACGGTGCATTGTCACCAGACACTCATTATCATAACCCAGCAAACAACAGAGGGTCAGTTTTTGGTGATACCGACTCACGTTTCTGCATTTGAGACGGACGATGGAAGATGGCACACAGCCGCCTCATATGCTGGCCGAGCGATGCCACAGAGGCCACACCATATGTGCCTTTTACCATGACGCGAGTAAAAACTGTATACCCAGCTGTAAGGCCATATGTATGTCACGACATTCAGCGCTCAGGTGTTGACGCGGGTCATTCTACTCTTTTTTTTTAACAGTAAACTTGCACTATTTGAACGTTCCGAGAAATACCGACCATTTTTGGCCAGAAATGTCTGTATGATATAGGTACGGCGCTATACTGATGGTCTACATGTACGTTTATTTGTTGTTTTTTTTTCTTTCTTTCTCGTGTTGTGTCCTAGCTCATAATCATTTGAAACTTTAAGTTCAAATTGAAGCACTTTTTTCAGTTTCAGACCTACCTAAATTTCTTCCGAATCATGTTGGCCGATGGTAGTTTCATTGAAGTATGTCGCAATGAAGCGCAACAGTGTTTAATTTTCAGTCTTATTGCTTATCAACATTATTACCGATTACCTACTAAATATGAACGGCCTATATGTGCCTAACAGAGGGCATGTCACAGTCCTTTAGACTGATACATTATCGCCGTTACTTAGAGGTTATTGTTTTGCACCCGATTTGCGATTTCACTCTCTGCCGATTGTTGTAATATCAGGTACCCGGCCAGCCTGTTAGCTGAGCTCGGCTCTTTTGAAAGACGAGCCGCTGCGGGTGTGACAGCGGGTATAGGTACGAGCGGCCCTTCCGCTGTCACTAGAGGGACGTTTCTCGGCTCGGATCACTGCCGGATGTCGCATCTGTCTACTGAGCGGGGTAGCGCTGGGACTGCACCCGAGACGTACCCCATCGACTCAGACCGGGCGGGGTGCTGAGTTCGGTCACCTGAGCCATTGGAGTCCACTGGGCGCTGAGCAGTGAGCACCATTATAGGTGGACGGGACTGCTGACGCTACTCTGTAAACATGTCCATTTGCCCCTATAGTTATAATGCGGCCAGGGGCCCAGGCAGTTGAGTCGGATTGGCTAATGTGCGAGCAGATGGGAGACAACATGGGCGGCTTAACCTCATCAGAGCGATGGAAAGGAAAACGGTGGATGGCTGGATCTCAGTGCATAGCGGAACAACGGGATGGGAAATCGTTCGTGACGATACAAGCTCCAGTGTATTGGAAGCCAACAGGAGGGTGGACCTATGAAAAAGATGAGTGGCTGCAGTTAATTTCAGCAGAGCGGTGAAATGGGAAGCGCCGGATGAGGGAGCAACGGCTGAAGAGCGGAGTGGGTAACTAATTGTATACGACTGTATGAGGCTCAGCGGAGCGGAGCGGGAACCGCGGTGGGAGCCGGGTGCAGCCCCCCCCCCCCCCCCCAGCGCTGCGCCGTCGCCATGGGACGGCCGTGGCCTCTGCCAAGGCCCTATAGCCTCTGCGCCGCTCACTGTGCCCAGTCACGCTCCACACTGCTGCCGGAGGACACCGCGCGAACAACAGAATGGCGTCAGCTCTCACCTGTACGGGTCCCGGATACGGCATGTCACGGCCTTCGAGACCGGCTGAATGCCCACTCAGCTCTCCGTGGAGCCTCACCAACAACCATGGCATTGTCTTGAGCGGCTAAAGCACACTGCCTTTGACTGGAAAACGAAAATAATGAATGTGCTGATGGGTCAGGTGTCCTATCCAACTTTTGGCGTTTCATCTTCTTCGGCATATTATCAAAACTCTCCTTTCTTGCCACTTGAGTTGGAGAAAAAAAATCTGGAGCCGTGGAGCTAGTGCGTAGTTCCCAAGGCGACCAATACGCAGTTACATTGTACAGGGGGAATGGCAAGGTCAGTTCCACTGGCCCTGAGCGTGGAACGGCACGACGGGCATAAATTGTGAGCAGAAGCTGACGGTGACCACCTTTCCACTGTAATGCAGCTTGAGTGTGTAGTTGCATATAAAAAATAGACGCTGCGGATGATGATAAAAAGAGAAAAAAGAGAGATGGCAGAGTGCGACAGGAGAGAGAGAGAGAGAGAGAGAGAGAGAGAGAGAGAGAGAGAGAGAGAGAGAGAGAGAGAGAGAGGTAGAGGTAGAGAGAGAGAGAGAGACGGAGAGAAAGAGAGGGAGAGAGAGGGAGAGAGAGAGAGAGACAGAGAGAGGGGGAAAGAGGAGGGGAGAAAAACTGAGGAAAAGCTATTTTGTCACAGCTTACACGGTTCACATGTTAAACCCTTTCACCGAGCGGTTGCTGATAATATAGCAAGCTCGCAGTAAAAGTGCACGCCGGACTGTTCGTAATTGCAAAAAGCATTTAACATTTCAACTTGCAATAAGTCCAATGTAGGTACTCAGATCAACAGCGTCAGCTGTTCAACATCAACAGCTTTATCCGACGATGTGCCGTGAAAATCGAGCATCATAATTGTTGTTGGCTACCATTCTCTTTTATCATTATCCCCATTTGTCATTCATTTACCATGCCACATCTAGTTCCCCACTGGACTAGCTGATGCTGACGCTTCACCCACCCGTTTCAGACGTATAACCCGGACCGCCAGGTGCCGGACTCTGCCGGCACGGCCACCGCCTACTGGTGCGGCTACAAAGGCAACTACGAGACGCTCGGGGTGGACGCACGCGTCTCGGCTGGACAGTGCACCGCATCACGGGTGAAGCGCAACAGCCGGCCCTGTCTGATGGAGTGGGCGCAGGAGGCCGGCAAAGACACCGGTCAGTCTCTGTGGGCTGTTGGAGATTAGTACTGTGTGGGCATCTGTGGGCTGTGGGGCGGTATACTTAAAGGGACATGATATTTTTCGGGCTAAGGGTACTCGTTCGAAGCCATCAGCTGCATTTCAAAGAACGAAGATAAACCGCACGAATGTCCATTTATTCCCGAATCCCATGTGCTTTATGCTCAAAGCTTCTCGCTTATTGCGAATCGCGGTGGTCCCCTGCCAAGGGGACTCTGACGTCTCGACTCCGGACTCGCCGCTGCCGTCATGGGACTCGCCTCCTGGCCTGGTGACAAATCTGTCCCCCAGAGTGTAACACTACCCCGCTCCGACCAGAGACGCTGACAGTGACACATCTGCAGCGCAACTGTTCCGAGCCGCGAGTCTCGCCTCTGCCTCACACGTCGGGGAGCCACTCCAAACATTATTGACGCTGAGAATTATGTAACTCGGTTTGCCGCCGATTTACGGAAGTTAAATGCTTACATAATATGTTAAGATGGAACTTCGCCAACAGACATGTGAACGATCCATAGTCCTTACAAACGAAATCGTAGCGTACGAATATATCTACGCAGAGGGCTCGCACAAAGCTGGAGGCGAAGATAAACCCGGGTGTTGACGGCCTTTCACAGCCAAACAGGGAGGGGAGTTGATCGGAGGACACGCTAATAGCTTCATCAATACAGACCGCAGCACTCCGGAGATCCCCGCTGCGGCGAAGGACCTCCACTACAGCGGGATAATTGACGACTGCTGGGTTTTCCATCGAGTAGAAGGCTTGACAGATCCAAAAAGGTGATATGCTTCCTAGCCACAATTATTTTACGGACACGTAGGTAAGAAGCTTAGTTCTATAGATAGTTACTTTTAGAAGATCTAGGGCTAGGCATTCATGTCAATTGCATTTATCTCAGTAATAACTTGATAAGCTAAACCCGTTGATAAGATTTCGTCGAGGGCAGCATGAAGCCACCGATACAATCATGAGGTCTATCCCATGCATAGTAATTACACATCGCTATAACAACCCAAAAGCATCATCAAATAGTAAATGCAATAGTTTTCTTGCAGATTGCAGCAGTCCAATTTAGGACACTATACCTATTGGGACAGGATGGGGAACGCTCATGAAGGCGCTTTACGTTTGCGCCGCGCAAAAGTATAGCATGCGCTGATTATGAGGCGGTTTTCCATTTCACGGCATGCCACTGAATAGCTGTGTGTGCCCTAAACCGCACCACAACCGACGGCTACCTGGTGTCATAAGGCGCAAAATTGCTCCACAAGCCACCAGCGAACTGCGCGTGAAGCTATTGAAACGGAAATTGCGTCCAGAAATGGCGGCATTTAATACAAATCGCAGCGTTTTGTCTGGTTAATGACCTAAAAATCCATATCTGCGTAGGCAACTGGTTACAGAGAAGTCAAAGTACGACCTATTGCCAGAATATCCGGCGGTGAAACAGGGCCGTCAATTTGCTGTTAATAGGCTGCGTAAATGGTGGAGCAATTAAGCGAGCGAGGCCAGGCCCTACATTACAGACCTAGGACCGTCTGCTTCCAGCAAACGGAAGTTAATCTTGTGAACGAGTTTCCACGCATCAATTTGAAAATGTGAGACAGACATGGCCCCATAACGCAGACCACAGTTGAATGTGTGGTGTTAGTAAATGTCGTAATTAAATGGATTTTAGTTCATAAGATTAAGTTGTTAAGCTCATTCGAATCGATTTAAATGTTATCGTTATTCACTTTAATTAATTGAAGTCGTGCTGCATAATTCTGTTTGCTGCCTCCCAAGCTCTTAATCTTCATAAGACCATCCATAAATGTTCCTTGGAAAAATCTTTCAATAGAAATAGAAATGCAGAACACAAAAAGTCCAGAACCGAAGTGATCTACTTACATGCAATCACGCCTTTCACCTGAACGACTGAGCTTCCTTCCCTGTCCTTTCGTCTCCCTCTAACGCTCAATCGAATATCCACCCGTCTCTTATATATATATATATATATATATATATATATATATATATATATATATATATATATATATATATATATATATATATATATATATATATATCAGTGTATTTTGGCAGAACATTTTCTTTTAGACAAGTTTTGTTGAAGGCCAGGGAATATCTTGTTTTTGTTAGCTTCTTGCGTGTTTGTTCGATATGTCGAAGTAGAAGTTTTTGATCCTGAGGTAAGTCAAAAATGAGATCCCCAAAGTTCATGTATTCATTAATAGCTAGCGACGTTTCGGCTTTTCCAAAACCATTTTCAAGCTTAATTATGTTTAGCACGACATGAGCGATCACAAATGTTGATAAATAAAGTAAAACATGTTTCATGGCGACCCCCACCGGACACGATTTGGTAGCCGAGGTCTGTGACGTCAGCCGGGCGTGAAGTTTTCCCTTCACCATAGGCTTCACACACAAACCGGCCGAAGTTCATGCCAGGATAGCCCGGCTTGAAAGTGCAAAAATGATTAAATTTTGCCCTCAATAGATTCATTGCTTCATTTTATAACTAAAAACGTCCGTTATTAGGACTCAATGAAGGTAAAAAGTACTCAAAATCGAAGTTTAAGAAAATGCTGTCCGAGCACAATCTGGTAACATCACGTGACCTCTTTTAAGCAGAATGTATATAATTCAAGGATGTTATTACACGATTGCTGCCTAAAACATCATAAATAATACGCTTGTAACATTTATTGCTTCTGTTTAAGTCATAACATTGCAAAACGCAAAGTTTATCATGGAAGTCACGTGACCAAAGGTATAGCAGGGGTTGGGACAAGCACTCAAAGGATTTCAAGTTTTTTAATTAAATTATATAAGTTTCATGATGAAATTGATAGAATGTATTTTTTCCTAATGAAATACAAATTTTCGTATGTAAAATATTTTCCTTATGGGCGAAATTCTCCATATAAGAAATGTCAGTGACGTCACCAGGGCTTTACTGGGCTTTACTCAAAACATCGGACCTACCTGTTTCTTATAGGTATCTTGTTTCATGGTACACTTGGTTCAATATAGGTATCTTGTTTCATGTATCTTGGTTCATGGTTGATAAGAGGCTCTTGGTTGGTTGCTAGGCAACGGTGTTGTTGTTTGAGATTCCGATATTTATATTACTTTTTCAGGTAATTAAACTGTAAGCATGACAGTAACCTGATAAAAGAACGTCGGAAAAGTGCAATATCAGTTGATTATGTGTCTCAACCTTCAGATTTACGGCGAGAGGCTGTAAGTGAGATTTCACTTTTTGGAGACGAACTTGGCGCATTCAACTGACAAATGAAGTTAAAACTTGTTTAAAACAATTAAATAATTGAAAGTTTTGCTGGAAATATCACAAGAAACCTATTCTGGAACTGATTCTTCATATGTGCTATCGCTCTGCATGCTGCATGATCTGATCTGAATCCTGTTGGTGGCTACAAGTTGGCTGCCACGGGCCACCTTCGTCATCTCCAGTCATCTATCATCCTTCCTTCCTTCCGTGTCTGTCAATCTGTATCTTGACTTCATCTGTCCTGTCTTCAAAGAGGTCTAAATACTGTGTCAGTGACATCAGATTTGCCACCACTGAACCTGTATAGTGAAGGGAGATGGCAAGCAAGGTGTCACCTCACTCAACGAGAGCCCGTAAACTCCTTCCCCGGGAGGTAACGGCATCACCTCAGAACCAGAAAAAGGATGTGACAGCTCTTATTGAGACAGCAGTTAAAGCTGCAATACAAAAGGCAGAGGTCTCACTAAGCACTACATTGAAGGATACCTTGAAGACTGCTGTTAGTCAGATGGCAAATACCATCGGAGAACAGCTGGCGTCTGATTTGCGTGATGCACTGCGAAACATCAGTGAAGAAATGGAACGCTTGTCACGAAGGCTCAAAGAATGTGAAGCAAAGCTACAGGAGCAGTCAGCCCCAGTGCCAGCTTCAGCTTCTGTCGAGATTAGACCACCACCATCAAACACCACCATTCAGCGCCAGACGTTTGATATTGACAGGCTGGAGCAGTACTCCCGAAGGGACAACATCCGAATCAGGGGAGTGCCCCAGGATGAAAGAGAGGACACTGACCAGATCATCATTGATCTAGCAAAGGAGTGTGGAGTCGTGATGTCCAAGCAGGACATCAGCACATCTCACCGGATACAGACAAAAAAGGACACAGGAGGACCGCCACCAATCATAGCAAGGCTGGTTCGAAGGGAAGTAAAGATCAGTCTGATGAGGGCAAAAAGGATCCTGAAAACCAAGCGCAAGAACGTGTATATTGACGAGGACCTCACCCCTCTCAGAGCAAAGATGTTCTTCGCTCTACGGAAGGACCCGGATGTCAGCGCAGTCTGGACCATCGACGGACGGATCCACTGCAAAATGAACGGGAAGGATGAAAAAATCATCATAGACTCTCCAGTGGACCTCTTCACCATCGGGTGGTCCGACGATAAGGTGAAGCCATTCTACTAGGACATCAGCGACCCCAGGACACCCACATCCCGAGGAAATGAAGTGAAACAAGTAAAATCCCAGACTGTTAATAACACTGATCCCAGCCTTTACAAACAGAGAGTGAAATTCCTCAGTCTCAACGTTAATGGGATCCGTAGTAAACTTAAGTATGGACTGATTGATAACTACGTAATGCTGTTTGACATCATCTGTCTGGTTGAAACAAAATCAGATGAATTCCAATTGAATTGGTTTCCAGGTTATACGGCAGTACCCTTGGAAACCAGATCAAAACACTTCCCTTATGGTGGTGTACATGGTGTGTGTATTCTTTTTAGGACATTGTTTTGTAGACATATCAAAGTTATCACTGGAATGCGTTCTCCATTCGTTCAATGGATTCTCGTTAAGAAAGAGGCTTATGGGAAAGAGTTTATTGTAGGAGGAGCATATTTTCCTCATGAAGGTTCAAAATACGCACAGGAGGAAATGTTTGATGATCTCATGTTTGAC